TGCAGCGATACGAAAACACTATTAGTCAACCACGTGAAAACAAACCAATGACTGGATGACCTCGGGAGTCTGGAGTATTTTTTTTTTTCGTTAAACGCATGATTTTGTTTTCGAAGTATATTATTTTTAATGCACAAGAATATACTGTATACATTATGTATATCTATCATATATACACAATACAAGCAACCAAACAAACATTACGTACGATTGTACAGTATGTTGAAGTCGTTTATCCGTAACGCGCACCTATATATTATACATATAAGTATATAATATATTATATTATATTATGCACATACACACACACACACTCGCACATGTGTATATGCGGTAGGACCATGTGTTGCTTCGTTTAAAAACAAAACAAGAAAAAAAGACAGACAAAAGTACACGTAGTTGATTTCTTTTTAATTACAATACAACGTTGATTTAAAAAAATAGGTAGGTACATTTTTTTTTTCGAAACTGGCGCTGTTTTTATCAGAAAAGGGGTAGTCTGAGAATCCTCCCCCTACTGCACCTGCCATTTGCGTTAGTGAGTACACGCAGGATACACAATGTACATTAGTGCATTATACTGGTATAATAATATAACGCTTGTAATATATTTCTTCTTTTTATGCGTATAAATATCGTTTTACCCCTATGTCAATATAAAACCGTATCTCTCGAGTGTAAGTCTTTAGGTGAGGGGATTTAAAACGCACATCTCTCCAAGACCGTTCAAGCGCGTTACTAACTTTTAATTGCTCGCGGGGTGGGTACCCTTAATTATTATGGCTCTGAATTCTTATGCAGCTTAAAGTTTAACGAATAAAACAAAAAATAAAAAACACTTCCACAAACTAAGGCCATATAAATGATAATATATAGGTGGTATATACATATTATATACCTAGTATACATGTTTTGAAAACCGATAGCTGTGCATGATTTTGTGAAAAACCTATTAGGTTTTTAATTAATATACTTTTTTCGTGCATATTATTTTATACGTTTCAACGCTGATCCCGCGAAAGTTTGTACGTAATTCAAGCGAATTTAATAATGAATTGTATTCATATGCGAATATACATAGTATTATATAATATTATTGGTACCCACGTTTATTTCAAAACATTAATATTATATCGTTAACCATTCGTAACATATCTATAGAATTGCCTTTCAGTTTATAGTTGTGTATTTCTTTAAAATATTCCGAGAAAACAATTTAAAAGTCAACATTTAACACTCTTAACACAACAATTTAAGTTGAGATATTAGCCTTTTAATGGACTGTACAAAATAAATAAATAATATTTGAAATTCTGGTTTAGAATCTCATATGCAGGAAAACAAAGAACTTCCACTACCTATTTGTTAAAAATATTTTAGTTAGGTTAGGTTAATTTTATATTGTATTATATTACATTAACCCAAAATTATGTACAATATAATATTTATTTAAATAAATTAACACAATTATTAACGTATTGATAATTTACTGTAATGTGTATAAATATTTTTTATTGTTCATTGTATATTATATAGTAAAATTACTCATAATATTCTCATCAACTAACGATAATATATTATTTGATAATTCATTGTTTAAAAGTTAATTTTATTTAATTATCCAATGATAAAAATAATTGTACAACGTTTATGGAAATATAATATTATACAGATTCCAAAATGCATTATATTGGACACAATATGTTTGATGATGTGCACCTTAGACACCTTAAAATAAATGTCTTCATAATATATTCAATACATAATTGCATAATGCTTTTATGCATATATACATAATATAATAGCTGTAACCGGACTTTTGATCTTTCTATAGAATTCATCTGTTCTGCCATTTTCGCATGTAAATACATTACTCAATTGCATTAACTAAATAGTAATTAACATTAAAAAACGCTAAGCTGTCTGTATTCAACCAACATTTTAAGCTTAAAATACATTTTAGAACCTAAAAATATGATGCTTCGTAAACATAATTAGTTTTTATTAATATTAATATAATATTTACTAGTATATCAGTACCTAAATGGATTTTTTCGATTTCATTTGTGGGTGCCCAACTTGCACTTGCTGTTATTTAAAAAAAAAGTTTTAATTGGTATTTCATTATACTACCGACAGCAGACTTCAGAGGCCATTATTTACATTATATTATTAATAATTTATTTAACAAACTATTTTTATAGACTTTTCTAATTTAACAAAATAATTTATTGATTAGGAAGGCACCTACTGTACAATATCATTGTTGTAAAATAGTACGATAACAATAATGATTTATAATATTACATTGAACAATGTACATAGATAAATATTAATTTAAATAATGAAATAAATTAGTATAAAATAGTTGAAATGTAACACTTTACTTTATTTCCAAATTTGTATTGATTTTTATATTTTTCAGAAGTTTTCGTAGAAGGTCAATGGTTCGATTTTAAATTGGTGTTTTAAATTCCATTGTCTGAAACACGTTACAACTACTTTGTATTTTGAGAACATTTTCATTCAAATTATATAATTTCTAAACATAAATTTAGAAAAGAGTTCAATTTACTTGTACGTGTTATTTTAGGAATTTTTGAAGAGGATACTTTACTAGAACAAGTGGGACTAAACGAAGAGCATACTTTTGGAATTCCTTTGCAGAAGTTCAATTTGAATTTAATTTCAACCATACCTACTCCTTTTAGTAAACAATGTATTTCTTGTTTTAAACTTTATTGCGTGCAAAATATTTTATTTTTTTGCCTCTACCAATGTTTGATATTAGACTTTAAGAAAGTTAAAAAGGACTTAAAAAACCATTTATACCTACGGTTTAGTTCATATATTTTTTTAATTCCAAGGCTACAAAATTCATTTACAGTATATTTAATTTTTAAGTTTCCACATAAAGATGTAAAATATGTTAAAGATCTTAAAGTGAATCATAAATATGCTCAAACTACTTTAAATATTCATAAGTTATAATCGTCATAGCTTATAAAATTATAAGTAGAATTTTGATAATTGTTATGCTTGATTTGTTTTTTTTATCTTAATTATCTTGGATTAAAATTTACTTAAATGTTTAAAATATACGATTAAGTGGTTTATATAATAAAACCGAATATTTATAAATAATATTAGTTAACTTTATGAAAACAGTTATAGAGACATGCATTAAAAAAAAAAATCGATGTAAATTAAAGTGGTAAATGTTTTACAATTATTTATTTTAAAGTATACGATGTAATTTGATTACTATAATTATTATTAATGTGTATCATCACGGTTATACAAATTTATTTCTTGTAAGAATAAACTAATTTATAAAATATAACTACAGTTATAAAATCTGTGTTCAATTACAAAATATATAAGTAGGTAAATTATATAAAACTACTTTTGATTTTTTTTCCACTATTCGTAAATGTGTTAGAATAAAGTTCTATTATAAATTTAAAAGTATTTTAAACTAGAGCGCATTAATTACTATGTGCAATTTCAAACAATAGTTTCGTAATTACTCGTGTAGTTTTAGATAATATTAACTTAATATTTTATTGGCTACAGTTATTTTTAAATAACAATATATTTTATGTATATCAATATTGTATGCTGATACTTTCATAGTTAAAAATATATATATATTCCACTACTCATTAAAATGTGTAGTTACATAGTGTAAACATACAACTATGAAGTGTTAGCTATTATACTATAAAAATATGTACATGTTTAATCAATATTATATACTCTGAATTGAATTCATTTCGTTAAAGTTGTACAATTAGTTAGAAATAAAGGCTTCAAGTTTTAGGCCATAAACCTACATTTACAGTACAAAATATCTTAATTTAACATACTATATAAGCAAGTTATCTTATTAGGGTTTATGATTACTTAGTTATATAGGGTATATTATATGAAATAAGTTAATATAAATTGCATGAATACTATTGTTTAATGATACAGTATAGTTACATATAGAAAAATAAATTGATAGCTCATAGCCTACATTGTTGATACTAAAACAGTATAAACAATGAAACTTTTAAAATTGAATAGAGTAAAAAAAATTATGGATATTCGATGGATTTTCTCGTTTTTATAGAATTATTATTATTATTGTGATTAAATCCGTGTATTGATATATTTATGTTGTATTGCATAACTAAAATAAACTATAACATCATGCAGCTAAATCCTTATGCTTTATCGTGACAATTTGATTCTACCATTTTTTGGCAAATTAAATGTATGCATATTACATTCAACTCCGTTTCTTTCTTCCAATTGTAACTTTTCAATATCTGTATTCTATTAGTACATTTCATTATAGAATCAATATTCAGGTAGAAAATATTCACTTCTAGATCACAACACATACAAAAGAGCAGGTTTGATAGTGACTGTATTATACGCAAAATGTATATTAAATTATTACACTACTAAAACTAAAAAATTATCATTATTTGGAAGGTACTTGGTGGATAATATAAAAATTGTAACTGCTTAGTATAAACCTAAATAATTTTGATGTACTTGTAGCAAATATCAATAGACTAGTTCGCAATAGCATGTAAAACATAAATACTTGTGATTTAGAGTAAACATTTTCTATTTTGGTGAAGAAAAATATTCCCCTTATGGAATATGTAATTAAATTATAATTGTTACAATTACTTATAAGTTATAAGTTATACGCTCTAGTAATTAAAAATTAAAGAATATTCATAAAAGTTTAATCTATGTTCAATCATTACTTGTAGATGCTATTTATGTGCCCAACTTTTGGGGGTATTATTATTATTTTTTAATTACTCGCCTTTGAAAGACGAGGAAGATGGTTATTGATTTTTCTTCGTCTGTTGTTTGTACTGTTGCTGTGAGAACGAATTCGGGGAAACTACCTACCGCTTCAAGCTAAAAGTTTCGACATCCAGACCGTAATAGAAGGGGTGTAAAATTGGAGAAGATAAAAGAAACACAAATCGGCCAAAGGTTTTACAAATTTTAATTCGGTAACATTTTTGAATTTTTTTCCTCTTAAAAAATCTAACCAAAAACTGTAAAAGTTTGTAGAGCTACAAATACGGTTGATATTTATTTGAAGAAAGTTTACAATTAACAGTAGCATAAAATATTGTGTTTCAAGCAAATTTAATAGTGAGATGGAATAAAGGAGATGGATCCATGCTATACTATGGATTTTAACAGAAAACATAAAAACGAGCAACTATCCTATATGTTATTGATGCATTTGACGATATTCATTTTAAAACGATTGAAATAACATTGTAAAAGAAATATAATAACGATATTATAATGACGGAGGTTATAACAAGAAAGTCCAACGAGAAGTACTGATGCCATTTAGTATTTACGGCCTGTGATTTCAGATGGTGTGCGCCGTCGTGTCGCAACACGTACTCTGTCCAATAGGCTACTGTGTCTTTAGGATTGAGAGGACGATCGTGAAAACGGTGTGATAAATCCACAGCATTGTCTTTGAATCTGGAATTAAATACAAATTGCTTTTATGAAATATTTACTTAGATTTAATATTATGTTTTTTTCTGTAACTTTTTGGTGAATATACTTATAAGTTGTAAGTTGTGACGTCTTATATAATAGGTACGTTAATAAATATTGTTATTTTGGGTGTGCATTGGTATTTTTTATGTTTTTTATTTCAATTGGATAGTGTAGGTACTATATAATACTGATAGATAAATATGAGAGTACCTATATAATTTATAGTTTTGAAAAAAAAATAGAATCATTGAAGTATAGTAAATTCTATAGTAATAAATAAGTATTTAAGAACACAATACACTACGGTAGTAGTTATACGAAAGTAAAAAAGTACAAACTTATTTTAGATAATATTATTTTGTTTGTATACAGGTACATACAATATGTTATATTCGTCAACAACTGTGAAAATATGTAATACGGTTACTTGAGTATCAAAACAAATTTTTTCTCTTACTAAAAATAGAAAATTAACCAATTAAACCCTTAAGTTAGAACTGTTAGAAGGCACATGGCTTAATTAATTATAAGATGCAAAAGCTCTTGTATTTATATTATTAAGTAATACGTACAATTGACAAATAATTATGTATTGGTGCTTAATAAAAAATATTTGAAATTATACAAACGAATAACATATAAACTATCAAGTAATTCAATGGCAATAATTAGTCCTACATGGCCTTACATATTCTGTATTTTTATCAGGCTACTAATATGTTTTTAACTTTTCCCATAACCTAGAGATACAGTGGTCCGATCAGCTAATCGAGTATATTTTCTAACTAGTATTCTGTCTACAATAAAAGTCTAATACAATTATATAGGTACGAAATTATATTAGATTTGTATTCATTATGTAAGGGATATAATTTTATACAACTATAAAATTTTGAGACCAATCGATTTGCACAAATATTTATTTTATATACCATAGTCCATAAAATAAATTATTTTGGTATAAGTGTTTATATTATAATAACACCGTTCATCTTACTTTTGATCACTTAGAATCCGTTTAATCTTGCATACAAAGTCTTCTTTTGTGAAATTATCGTAGTTTACAAACAAGCCTGAACCCCAGTGTTTGAATAGTTCCAAATTTCTTGGCTGGTCAAAAAATATAGGAAAGCCTAGTACCGGAATGCCTGCGCTAGTCGCTTCAATAACTCCAGAATTACCACCGTGTGTGATAAAAAGTTTTACATTTGGATGTCCTGAAATTGGGTATTAACAAGATAGAAAAAACAGTTAAATCAAACATAGAGACAATATAAATAAAAACAATTAATTTGTACACGTTGTAAAGTACAAAATGTCACAAAATATCGAATTATAACAACTAATCTAAAAAATAAAAAGGTAGAAATAATAATTACTTTGTAAACATAAGGCATATTATCATATTTAACTTTTAATGTAGGTACCTATAGTATAGTAACGATTTAATTAATAATATTCAAGTGATTTATTGCATAAGGTTAACATCTTTTTAAACATATTTTCAAACATCACCTTCCCGTTCATAACTAGATGTTATTTTAGGTTCACCCCAGTTAAGGTGCACATAATTCACTGAATAAATTATAAGTTTAGTTTGATTAAAAAAAAAATAAAAATATTTATACGTGCATATAATATTATTATCTGTATAAGTAATAATATAATATAATGGACTAAAATATATAGGTAATAGGTATTGTCCAGATTTCCAACCCACCATCCAAATTTATTGAAAAATCAATGCGCTTCATACACGAATGAACGCTGATAACCCTTTTCCTTCCCTTGATATTGTAACCATAAGAACATTTACCGGGAAAACATTTCCTATTTATATGTTATTTATGACTGTAAAAAACTTTTATTCGAAACTTGTTCTTTTATCTCATTAAATTTATGCCGACGTAAAAGCCACCCTACTATTTTTAAAATAACAAAAATATACACACACATATGTGCAAGAATTTCAAAACTTTTAAAACTTTATCCGTTTTGTTTTTTTTTTTTAAATTCATACAAGGAAATATAAATTAAAATAAATGTGTAATCGTTAGTTGTTTTTGTTATCAATGTCTAGCTTGAATGAATAATAAATCATTAAATCAATGTTGTTACCGTAAAGATTACTAATAGATCCTCAACTATGTAGTGTACAACAGTCGACTGTCTACACATATCAATAGGGATGAGATTGACTTTTTGCTTAAAATTATAGTAGATAATAATAATCCATAATTCATATTATAACATCATATAAAATATTTAAATGATAACCTGTTTATATGATTACTGATTTGTTAGTTAAGTACTTAATAAAATATATTTAAAATGTAAGTTAAAAATGTTGTCATTTATATGACATAAGAGAACTTGAAAAACTTGAACTCGGATTATAAAAGTTTATAAAAAAAACCCTAGGACCAAAAATGTGAGTTCTTACCTACCTACTACCCGGTTCTATATGTTTAATTTAACATACATTTAGATATAAAAAAAGAGTTTATACTGCTTGGAGTTTTAAAAACCATATAGGGTAGGTAGTACATTATTTTATACTAACATTTTGAGTATCACTGTTAACATAGCTAGGTACTATTTTATTTTAAATCACTAAGAATTAATAAAATAATTTTAATGTAACTATATATTCCTTCACTACGATCTATTTAAAATTATTGATTATGATATTTATTAGTAATTAATATTTATACAATTTTATTAATGCAATTTTGTATACATTATCTCATTGAAACAAGTATGCATTCGTGTTTCGTGTAAAATATATATAATGTTATTATTTATCGATCAAATAGAAATATTCTTACTTATAATATCATACTGAGGAAACCATTTTCTTGTTATTACATTTTTGGGCAGATTGATAATTGGCCGATCTGACTCTAACTTCCATAAAATGTTTTGCGATAATTCTCCGAATCCTTCTGTGAGTCCGTGCTGTATGGCAATTGGTAAATCTTCCATCCTGACCACGGACCCCAAACTGAAATATATTACGCCATGTTCGGAGCTGTCGATAAATTCCTGCAGGTCCTGTATAATCGAATTTATGACTGATAACTGTGATTTTTTTTCTGAACGTCACGTGAATGACTCTATTCTTATAAAAATGCAAATATATTAATTAAAATAAATCGTTATCAATACAGCATCATAGAATGCCATGACGAAACTATCCACTTAATTTTTCTATGCATAAATTTAGTGTATAGCTATTATAAGTACCCGCGTCAGTCAATTTAGATTCTGTGCGGTGCGATGAATGTATATTGATTTTACAATGATGTGTGTTTTTTTTATTAATTTTTTTTTTTTATTTGCGCCTGTCATCACCATTTGGAGTAGTGAAATGCTTCGATTTTTACTTCAGATTTTTTTCTTGTAGGCAAGTGAAACTTGTTAGTATTTTAGGAGGTCAAAAGAAAAAAATTCTCTGTAATTTTCAAAAGTGTCGGGGATATAAAAATATAATTAAGGAAAAACAGGAATTTTTACTTATAACCAGTTTTTCGACAGAATTGATTTTGTTTTTTTTTTACTTACTTAACTCATTAACGAATAACTGTAGATAAATAATTTATTCACCGAATGTTTATGTTAGCATTTTCTAGACATTTTAAATTTTAAATTTATTTTAGTGTTTTTTTCAATAACTGTCTATCAATTTTTCCTTTTTATCAACAACTTTGAAAATTTGTGTTACAAGGTTACTAATAATGTTGTTATAAATAATTGTAGTTAAACATATTAAAGATACAGAGGCAAGATTTTTGTACAGTCATTTAAAGTTCAAACTTTAATAAAATTCATTAAAATCACAAAAACTTGCAATCTATTTTGTAGTTAAAATTTAATAAATTGTTCGACTGTTATAGATAAGCATTGAAAATTAAAAACAAGGTTTTTCATTAGTAGTTTATAGGTACTGTAACCTTAAATTTAAAGAAATTTATAAACATATTTTTTTTTATAGGTACTATAAGTTTAAATTTGGACAAAATTAAATATTTAAACAAAGAATAACGATTTTAGTTTTTTGTTAAAATTTTAAATTATTATTCGTAGTAATCGTAAGTATTTAGAACGTTTAAATTACATTACTATATTTTATGCGTACAATGATATTTTCAAATGCAATCTTTTCATCAAAAATTAATTCTACCTATTGCATTAGATACTTCAATAGTGAAATAAATTATAATATAATAATAAGCAAAGGTTTTACCAATTTCAAAGGTTTTTGTCATCAGTCATCTTTATTGTGACCGCCATTTAAAGTACTAAAAATAACAATTTCATTATTGTAATTTCATTGAAAATAAAATATTTTAATATTTAAGTAAAGCTAGGTACTTAGTTTTGAGGGTGACCATAAGTGAAAATAGACAATTTTATTAGGATATACTAAATAATAAATATGAAAAATATGTTACTTTTTATTTTGTTCACTCGTTACTTTTATGAGTTCCATTTTAAAAGAGCCCACTCAAATTGCAAATGTAACTGATAGAAAAATATTTTTCAATATTATAATATTATTTTTCAATAATTATATTATTGAATATTATTCATTACTGTGCACCAATTGAACAAAACTGGTTTTATTTAACAATTAATAAACTATTCTAGAGCAATTAATTTCTATTGTTGATTAACTGCGTATGTAACATTGATTGTGATCAATTTATATATTTATTTTCCGAGTAAATTTGGATGTAGCCATTGGGTGAACGTTTTGGAAGGGTGCACAAATAAACTTCCACTTCTGATACTGATTAAAAATGACCCTTTATCATTTACTCCAAAACATACATAATTTGTCTTAAAATAATTATCTTTATTGAAAATATTAATATATTTTCAAAAATTTACCAAGAATCTATAAATATTTTACCGGAAATTTTTATATTGCTACAGAATAGTATGGTTGTAATAATAACAATGTTTTTCAGTTTCTTTCATCACCTAGGCCTCTATGATAACTGGTATCTAGTGAATCAATCTTAATAACTTTACAAAAGTGCCATATTTTAATTTTTACACTTTTTTTATGTTTTATATATTATATAATATAATATAGGTGAACTTTGTGTACATATAATTTTCCATCTATCTTCCATTATTACTTAATATTTTTATATATGTATCGATATAAGGCTGAAATTAATATTTTTTAACTTGGTGGAACTATTGAAATGATAATGTGGTTTTTTATATAATTGATAATTTTTCAAATAAAAACATATGATATATGTTGCCTCCGGAAAACTAAGCGATGATTTAAGAATACACCAATACCAATGGCACCATCTTTTCGACTTTTAATTTATAAAAAAAAATAAAAAGTTCAACTAACCACCCTGGCGGAGACGGGTAATTTAGCATGTACCTAATATAGGAAGGTATATAATGGCCAAAATTATTTATTTATTTGATGACATAGATGTGTCTCTCCTGATATGTTGTTGGCACTACCTTTAAGACCCGTCTTAATAATTATAATATGCATTCTTACGGTGGGTAATGGTTTGGGTGGTTTTAAGTGTATGCCTCCGATTTCTTTGAAATTGGTCGCCAACGGTTTGGACAAGTCGAAGTTCGAATGCGTGTTGAGGAACACCATTGATACGTTACGGAGTAATGCCTCAGCGTGCGGCCTGCCGTCGCCGAAATATTGACGACCCATCTCCGTGGCCGCATTGTCGATGTGCTTAAAGTACAAGAAAATGGTCACATAGTCGACGACGTTCCAAAACCGTTGGACGAATGTCTCCGGCTTTGGGTACGGTGAGTTCAGGGTCGTAATGTACGACGGGTTCGACGGGCTGTCGAACGAATCCTGGTACCAGGTAAGCATCTGACTGGACATGATGGCCACGTGTGGTACACCCAGGCTGCTGGCCAAGTACAAGTCGCATCGGGAGGCAAGCAACTCCGTGATTACGAGATCGTAGTGCTGCGTTTGTAGTGCAAGCTGGAGGTCAGGGTGGTTGAATGCTGTGCGGCACATGTGCTGTTGAACGTCATTTAGGAATTTCAGACATCTCGTAGGGGGCTTGTACACACCGACCACCTGCAATGCGTTTTACTTTAGTATATTATTATTTACCCTCAAAAAAGAAATATTGTTTTTCGCTGATCAAAATGTGGGTATTTATGGCTGAAAGGTATGCGTTAAGTGACATTTTATGAAAAACTTTTTTTATTGTTTGGTGGAAGGTATTACAACTTATAAGTATTATAACTTATTAGTATATTACTCATATTTCATTAAAACATGAAGTCAGATATCTAACCATTATATTATAAGTACTCAGTTGATCAACAAGATGTTACTATATACATATTACCACCAGCTATTACACAACGTTGGTAAATTAAAAATTACTTAAAACTTAATTTATCTAATTATTAAATTATGCCTATCTATATACTTAAGTAAAAACCAAGAAATAATATTAAATAAGAATAAAAAAATTAAATTGTTTACGATAAATAACACGAGTATAAGTATAATTCTACTTCGTATATATTATATTTCCGATTTCGTACTCAATATACCAAGAAGGTCAGCGTCAGGTGTTTGAAATTCGAATATAAAGTGTAAAAGCGTAAAGCATAACTGCAGGTATTTTGGCTATATTAATGTTCAATTAGTATATCTGTGCATAATTTGTATATGTGTTGTCTAGTTGACAGTACATTACTTAGGTATATAATATATTTCAATGTAGTTAGTTGTAGCATGGATAATAATTTAGAAGTCGGTATACTAAAAAGGATGCTACCTACTCGTAATTTATATTAAGAAAACAGGGTTGAGTTAATGAATACTGTAAAAACTGTGATGGTTATTAGTTTATTACTAATTACTTCTAAAATAAACGAATTTTTATACAAAAATAGAGGAGAATAATAATACTATCTACTTCTACGCTTAAGCCATGGTCAATTTTTATTAAGGCAAATGATTTTTTTCTATGAACATTCGAAGTTAAGATTTATTTGTAATTTTTAATATATTATATATTAAATATAATTAGATTTAGTTATCGAAATTAAAAAAATCTCAGATAATGTTCTCCTCTACAAACTGAGGAAATTTAGTTATTTAGATCAGTTCCAAGATACTTTGGTTTTGATTTGTGCAAAATTATTTTTGTTACCCAAATACAACATATAAAATTACCATTGTTATTATATTAAGTTATTAACATGGTTTCCTTTTTTTGGTAGCATCCTCTTAAAGTTTGATTATAAACTGTAGACGTCTATATAAGGTGTATATGTTATAACCATCATTGAACATTGGCCATTGTAAAAGCCAGAATTTGATGATAAAGTGTTTTTATTGAATTAGGTATTTTTTAAATGTTATTAACTATTGCTAAATATACGATGACAAAATTAATTCTGATGAATTTCTGAAAAAACGAATAACAATATTAATCTATAATCGACGATATATTTTTTTTTTAGCTATATTGGAAACAAAATAATTACAATACCGAGGAACTTGGTGTACAGAAAATAGGTATTGAATATAGGTACCTCATCAATCATCATTGTCTACTAAGTCAATGAAATAGTTATGTTAATTTTTAGTTTAATGATAAATCATTGAATACGATTAACTATTCTGAATGGAGATGGAATGTCACTTTTTATTTTTAAGGGTAACATATAACTTATTTATATTACTAATAATAACTGTCGATACATGCAATTTTTAATAAATGTTTTTATAAATACTTTTACTCTTTTTGATTTTTATTAGTTTTTATTTTAACTATTGTGAATAAAAAAAATGTCCACTGTTTAAATTGATATTACTTTATTAGTGTAATATACAAGATACGATTCACAATGTTAACTCTCAATAATTTTTTTAGGAGTGCCTGAAGTTAAAATTCTGACAAAATTTGCCAAAATCACGAAAATTTTGCATATTATTTTGAGTTAGAAATTCCTATTTTTTTTATATAAGATTTGTAAATTTAATTAAAGATTCCTTATAAGTTTATATATATTTAAGAAATAAAAAAATGTATTGGAAAGTCAAATTAATTTTTTATGAGCGTTTGAAGTTCAAACGTTCCTGACATTGAATAGGTATTCACCCTAAACCAACCCTAGCTTGATTTATCATGGAACGATTTTATTATTTTGTTGTAACTTAAAAACAAATAACCTTAGAAACTTGAAATTACTTATTCATATCAAAGATACTTTCGCCGGATATTTATATAAGCTTTTTCTACTCATGCTATAATTTAAAAAATATTTTGAATCTTTTTGAGCTATTTAATAAAATATTATCAGTTTTCAATTTATTTTTAGTTTTTTTCTATTGATTTTGCTGGTTCTAACAGCTTGAAAATCTAATATAATAGGTTCCTCAAAAGTTATCATACTAGCAATTCAGAAAAATCATTGAATTCAAATTTAACATATCCATTATAAATTATAGTGACCCACTATAGACGCCTAGCTACTATACACCAGCGCTACCCACCTTTCATTTTTTATGTAATTAACTTTTCTGTAACTACAAAAACTGTTTCTGTCTATATTAATTATTGTACTATTTTTTAATACAATAAAATTGTCAATTGTTCTATTATTGTACATTAATACAATTTATATGAATGATTATAATACGTTTGCATACTAGTATGTAATAAATAATACTAAGCTAAATGATTACATTAAAAAATATATTTGCATATTTTATATTTTATTGTCCATCCCATTAGTCATGAAAGTATGCCTTTATTGAATTTTTTTTTAAATTTTTAAGCTTTTTTGAAACGCAAACAAAAATTGTATCATACAGATGTATCGTATTATCATATATACACACAGTACACATATATATATATGTATAAAAAAGTATAAAAAAAAACTAATAATAAAAAAAAAAATACAGAATTCATAGGTACTGTGAGTCACTGATCCCACTTAAGCAATATGTTATAGTTGGTTAATATATATATTATGCTATTTTGGGGCCTGGTATGGCTCGGTGGTTGGCCTCAGTCACTAACGTGTACTACTGAGGTCAAGCATCTGCTGACGTTGCTAATTTCTAGATGGGTGACCGACCACCCGGGATTTTAATGACAAATCTTCGTCCCACATACACGTGTTCTTCAATCAGCCTTAACCCCCTTACAAAATGCTAATGGAGTAATGGCCATAGTTGCTGATTCCCAAGAAAAAATAATAAAATGTTAAAGCGTTCAAAGTACAAACACATAACACTATGATTAGTTAATTAGTTTATTTTCCTTTTTTATGTGCTGAACATGAAACTATATCAATTTCATTCCAGGATGATTTTTATCCATCAGAATTAAATATACATAATAGTAATTATCTATAAACTATATTCCAGTTTTCCAGTTGTGTACCTACTTGCAGTATTTTATTAATTATAATCTTCTCTAAAGTTCATTTGATAAATATATATTTTATAGAGTACCTACTTTAATTATTAGTTAAGCACTACACTTTTGTAAATGTTAATGATTTGATTTTTTAAAATATTAATTTATGTCATTTTTTACATACGGTACCTAAATTACCCTGGACTCTCACCATAATGCACGTCTGCATACGAATTATAAATGTATCTATAAAGTAGTAGATACTAAACTAGGTGGCATAAATAACGTTTCCAAATCTTTTTAGGATATTTTTTTACCGTTTCCCAAGGTGATGCTATTGCAAACGGAACTAGTTTAGATACGTCGATTTGAGTGTAATTCTCGTGTGGTATCTTCCTTGGAAATGGCGACACTACAGTAATCGTGTGGCCCCGATTTAATAGTACTTCCAGCACTGAGCTCATAACATTCCAGTGACTGGCTGCTGCTATTGGCGTGATGGCTAATATTTTTGCAGCATTTATCGTGTTTGTAGTTGCTAGTAATAGTAATATCCAGAGTAAACATTTCGTATCCATCTAAAACCATGTTTATACAAATTAAAATATGGTTTATATTAATAAAATCAATACATTTCGTAATAGCTTTCATAAAACGTAAAAAACACATATTATATTATAATTTTATTGATTTTATTAAAATTGGTATATTTCGGTTCTACCGGTCAGTGGGTAATACTGGTCACCTCTCTATCTATAATAAACCAATGTACTCATAATAGAGTTTATCATACAAAAAGGTTAAGAATCATAGCAAAAATGTATTCTTATCAGAACGATATTATTAAAAACTTTTTCACGTTCAAATATTTACTATTAGTTTTTAGAGTTCATTTATCTAAAAAAAAAATGTTTATACTTTAAAGATTTTTTTTTTTATTAGCTTTTTGAGATATAATAATTAGCTCGACAGAAATACTTAAAAGATGTATGTATAAAACAAAATATGAAAATTACTATTATACACTCAAATCATGTATACTAGTATAGTATTATGGTTTATCGAATAAAAGTATTTTCTAATTACTTGTCAAAAGGGGAAATACCGATCAATTTATATTATATAATAATCTGCGAGTTTAAAATCATTGATACAAACCAATATTTGTTTTCAGTAACTATTTATGATAAACACTTTTAATTTAAACCATTGTTATTTTAAAAATAAATGATTTTTAACAACAATTATCTTTTTGCGTGTGTTTTTTATATGTGTGACTGGTATTTCAATGGGTTATGGGGTGTTAGGTTTTAAAAATCTGAGACATTGACATAATGCAGTCAATGTTGCTTATCATCGAATATAATAATATTTGATTTCATGAAAATGTACGTTAATCTATGTATGTTGTATCCATGTATATGTTGTTATTTTATTTTTAATCAGTTAGTTATGCGGCTGCTTAGAATTATGTACTATAGCTAAAACTTACCTTCTTGTATTAGTGGAGTACTGGTGTAGAGTAAGACAATATCACACATTAACTCATCTTTCGAATGCTGTCGATTCACCAGTGCTGTAATAATTGCACTTTAAACATAATGCGTGCGATAGTCAATCACGAACTACTATTGCACTAAATGTCCGGACTAAAAGAGTAAATGACGACTCACACAGGTTGTAGTAGTCCCCCGCCACTAGAAACACCTCTCAGGTCTGGAAATAAATAAATTGATCACGCTGCCGTGTAAAAACAGAATAGTTGGGACGAAACCAATTCTGACAAACAGCAGCTGCTATGCCGCAAATACACACTTGTAGGAACAACTACGTGTAGCGAGTTAAGAAAAAAAATTGGTTTAATTATAATATTTATTTTACTATCTATTTTATGACTTATATATTATAAATATAAATTGAAATAACGTCATAATTAAATAAGCAGGAAATCGTTCTTATGGAGTAGAAATATTATTTATGAGTTATTTTTAAATTTTTATCTTAATTTCATGATTTTCATTTCTAGGCGTAATTCTCCGAATAATTCAACTATTACAACGGTACAATAGATATCTGGTGGCCAAATATAATAATACCAATTGCTATTATCTAGAATTCTAAGCTATAAATTAAAATTATATCACTCAAACTATACAAATTATTAGAACTATTATTATACAATATACCTATTTAATGGTCCCTAGTAGGCAAGTGTACATATACAGGGTGTCCCTCCAGAATTTACCAATTGAGATATCTCCTGAGATAATAAATGTATCATAAATCTGTTGACTTATTAAATTCACAGAGACAAGGACTACATATATTTAATTTTAAATTTTTTTATTTTTGAAACAATTGAAGATATCTATTTTGTAGAGCTTATTTTTCTGAAAATGTTGACCTCTCAACATTTTATTTTCATTAATTTCATAATTTTTTATAATTTTTTTATATTATGAGTAAAACGGCAAAAAAACCGGTTTTTGTCCGGGTGGTGAGTCCCCCTCTACGGCTAATGGGTAAATCCCCACAGAACACTCTGTATACTATATTACATAATATAAAATATATACTAAAGTTTTTAAATTTTAATATAATTATTAATATACTATCTTTAATATTTATAATTGATTCATTGTTTGATTCACAATCATTATATTATAATTATAATCTCTAAGTAAATCACAAATAAAATAACAGATTACAGATTAGGTGTTACAAGATTGTAGATGATTTTTCCATATTATGTTGAATATTTAAATATGAATTGAAGATGTTAACTATTAAGAGATAATTATAAATTATAAAATATAATATATCTCACTAGAAAAATAAATTCAATCCTTATGGGTAAACGAAAAAAATAGTTTTGATATAAATCACTGACAGAATGTAAGCAAATTTAATGAGCGACGACGGAGAAGGTAAACTTTTTGTATTGATTAGATGGGTGATTAAAAAAAATCTTCGGAGAAGTTACGAAATATTAAAGATTTAGACTTACCCTACATTTTAAACACTTTATTTATTATTAGTACCTATATTCATTTTATTTTAAAAACTAAATCAATACTATAGGTTGGTACTATACGGCAAAAGTACACTTCAAGGTTTTATGACTTTTTTTTAGTTTTGTATGTTTTATTTTGTATTCTAGTAGTGTAAGTTCTAAAGAACTTGTGTAGTTTTAAATATCCATTGATTGGAAAATTTGTCTAGATGGTACAAGGTTTAATATTCTAACTGAATAGTGTAAATAATAACATTTACAGAAATATAGGTACCTACTAGTTAACATTTGATTTTGGTTATTGTGTCCAATACTGTCCATATTCCATAATAATTAAAAATCGATTATCCTATAGGAAATACATTTTCTCTAACTATTCATAATATAAGCTAGCTAATATATAAATACAAATATACATAATATAGCTATATTGTCCGACGTTGCTCAGAGGTGAATACAACTGAGATGGGTAATCATACTACCCAGGATAGTTATAAGTAATAACTAATCTATTTAGGCCACTAGGTATCATTTATACTGTTTAGATGAAATAATGTATTTTTACATGTGTGAGTGATGTGTAGGTATTTAATGATGAGCATGTGGTAATGTTTTATTAATTGTTGACTTCACATAAATGTACCTATTACAATATTTATCCATATAAATATATTTTTTAAGTTCATTATTAATATTATTTTTTTATTAAGATGACCCTCGGCACCGTGGCTACTAGGAGAAACAGTTTTTTTTAAGGATGTACAAAAATATTACATAATAATAAATGAGTTATAAAACAAAAAATGTGTAAAGGTAATATAAGCTTAAGCTTTAAGACTGTATAATTCTGATGATTAAATTAGTTGGTCCAATCCTGTCTCCTGAAGGAATACGAATATGCTTGGTGTTGGAAGAACAGTAGAACAGTATAATTTATAAAAGCTTAAGGAAAAATATGCGAAATGGAGGGGGTGGGATATGAAAGTATATGATACCCTCATGCATACAGTTTTTAAATAACATATCAATGGAATATAATGACTTGACATTTTGATACTTAGTGGTTACTAATTTATTCGTGACTTTTTAATTAATGTTAAAAGTCTATAACGATTTTATAAAATAATATTTTATCATTGCATTAAATTGATACTTATTGGGTGACAAAGTGATCAAAGCGAGACAAGAACCTAAGTTTAAAACACCTGTTCTCTGTATCCTCTCCTTTCATATATTTAGTAACTATTTGTAATTTCTTATACAGAAGGCGAAAATACTATAAATATAATTTCTTATAATGCAGAATTACTCATCCCCTCGTTGTATCTATCTTATCGTTGGTGGCCTGTAGGTCAATTTTTCGACTGACCTCCAGTAGTGTCTGGTGGTAGTCATAATTATAACTGAAGTACAATATAGTTCAATAAAGTATAAGTAATATTTATTATTATAATTTATTATCATCAGGAAAGTTATGATTATACCATTGACCTTATTTTTAACCTACTATTTTAATCTTTTTATATTTTTAGTTGTTAAATTATTTAATCATATAAAACATTGTATGGAATATACATTTAATTGAACTGCAACTTCAAAAGTATAATATTTAATTATAGTCAAAAATTAAGTTTAACTTTTCTTATATTATATGTATTCATAATGGTATGTGATATAATTGGGGTTTTTGCTATGTGGTACCTCATAAATGGCAATTAATGCACAGTTAAACAGTGTACACATAGTTTGTCAAAAAATATAATTTTTGTTACCCAATTCAAAAATGCAAAATCATTTTAAAATTGTATATGGAATATTCTTTTTATGATGGTATGAATTGAATCTGTATTTGGCAAGATTCGAAGATGGTGCATTTAATGTATTATACATATTATTATCAAAACAATACATTTTTTAACCATCGAAGATAAGCTTGATTGGTAATTTTTTCAACGTTATTTGCTTACCTATATATCATAATATATATGACTATGTGTACAGAATTACAGATACTCATATAACGCGAACACCTTTCCTGTCAGCTATTGGTAGATGGAGGACAGTGGCCACTTTACCTATTGGCCAGTACAAAACATACCCTTAAGGTGAATCATGAAGTTATTTAGTCTATGATTTAAGATGCGTTCACTATATATTGTTTGTTTAAATGACAAGTTTGTTTTCGAGGAGGTGAAGAAAGCAAACGGTTAGCTGACTAATTATCTACAGCATACGAAGTATGTTGTTTATAACCAAAACAGAAATCTATTATTAAGGGTAACCTGATACACTAATCCGTCGAATACTACGATTAGTGATGAGATCAAGCATTTCAGTAAACAGTAAACAGTTTTGCAATAAAATTATAATTTATTGCCAATCAATTTTCAGTAAGGGGGACGAGGTGACCGAGTGGTCTGACTCTTCCGCTGCGACGCAGCCGGTCGCGGTTCGATCCTCGGCCACCGGGCGGCATTTTTCTCCGGACAAGTCGCGGTGACCGGAGAGCAAGTGCTGCCATCCCCCACCCCCGGGGCATGGCAGAAACCTACGGGTGCCCCATTCGAAATTCTGCCAAAACAAACACACACGTGTTCCCCCTACCGTTCCAAAAACCTACAAACCATCAATACAAAAACCTCTACAGTACCTACTAATAGCTAATGGCCACAGTTGCCGGGCTCAGGATCAATTTAAAAAAAAAAAAATTTTCAGTAAACCGTAAATTAGTGTTATAGCCTATACAATTTAAACATGCGTCCATAATAACAATAACTGTCCGAAACTATCAGATGAACTACAAGCATAGACAAAATAAGTGCCAACTTGGGGTTTTAGCACTCCAAATATCTATTGGATAATTAATCACGAAAAATGTTTTCTTCGATGAAGCATTAAATTGGCTATAAGAACGAGTATGATTAGTTGACGTAAATGATCTGTTATGCTAGAGTATCCTGCTTGGCGATACCAACTTGGTTTTTTTAAATGAGGAGCAACCTTTTTTCCTGTCAATTATTTAATTGATTTTGTTCTTATAAAGTTATAAATCTACATAATAAATTTGCAAGAAAAATATGAGAATTAAAGAACCCCCCTACCCCCAAAAAAATGTAGTCCTAGTTGCGACTAAGTCTTTAAGTTTTCGAATAATAATTATTTTTTATATTCTTATGTGTTGTGATCTTTATTGTGAATTTTGATAACACAATTGATAGACATACGTTGTACTAGAATCTGATGTCTCGTACACATAGCGACGTGGCGAACTTGACATTTTTCAAAGGCTAGTCTAGTATATTCTACCCATACACGCCCAATCAATATAATATACCTACCATATAAAGGTATTTACCATAAAGTATCTTCGTAGTTGGTGCTAAACTATGACCCAACCACTCATTCATAAGTCCTTAACCATCCAGAGGCAGCTACCATTCGATACACGCCACGCCCTGCCATTGCAGCCCCAATAAATCGATCTCAACAACGACCAAAACAGAATACGTATATACTGTGCATCCCCTCCTGCCATCAGGACCGGTTTCACAATGGTAGGGTGTCACATTGTGATGCGCAGAAAACCTATTTTCGTCGGGCCTTGGTGTGTTCTCTTGCTGGACAAATCTTTAAGATACCTAACTTACCTAAGTATCTAATAAAATACAACTTTATCTTAAAATTATGTGTTTTTGTTATTGTTTTATCTTAAAGTATACAATTTAAGGAACTATATTAATTTTTAAGTTGTTAATGTAATTTTTTATTCATTCAGTAATTGAGTTATTGTTTAAAAAAAATGTTTATCCCAGACAATGTTCAATTCTAACCATGGTATAATTTGGTAATACCATGAGTAGGTATTTAACTAATACATTTATAAATATTGATGACACTGAATATTCAAACGTTCAATTTTACATTAATGATTAATACATTTTTTCACCATCGACAATGAACTTGGTTTTTTGTCGACGTACATGCGTGTTTATAGTAACATAGTATACCTTCTTATATGAGTTATATAAAGTCGTACAGATATTTATCAATACATTTCCTGTCGGACATCTGTGGACTTATAAGGTAGATCATGTTTAAATTTTATCACTCACAAACGATACATGCTAGGTAATTTTGTCGAAGCTATAGGTATGCATAAATATCGTATACCTACTTGTATGGGCAATGTGTACTGATATTCATTATCATTTTTCTTATCATACATCAGTCATGGACTGAGACACTACCCACTAGCCAGTACAGAGCTTAGGCATTTATGAAATAGACCATGAGGTGACTGGTGAGTTTGTCTTAGAGCTAATTATATTCACCAATTATGTTATGTTTTAATATTGTGATAAATTAACGTTACAAAATAATTTACCTGTGATCAATATATTTTTAAATACAACAATTTGCATACTTAATATCAAAAGCTTATACTTGTTTATTATTGTCATTAGTTTAATTCGTTAGGTACATATTATTATATATTACATTTGTATTACTAAGTATTAAATATGAAACATAGGTATTAGTTATTACCTATATATTTTATAAAAATAATTAATAAGTATTGACCACGTCCACAAAATATATGAGACGTACCTACTATACATTTTTTTTCTTATGGATTTGGAATTATTTAGTACATTCGAATGTATTGTGAACTTTTATAACACATCGATCGTAAGAAACACACGTAACTAATGTTTCGGACACGCAACGGTGTGGCGAACGCTGCGGACTTGATATTTTTTAGAGGTTAACTCATACCCACTCAGCCAATACCCGCGATAAAGGCATTTACTGTTATATTTTTAACTCCTGTCGTAGTAAATACTAAGATACAATACTTATTCTAGTTAGGTAGTTTTAAATTATTTTTCACCTACTTATATGGCTATATCTACGACCCCTTAAAAACTCAAAAGCGTCTACCACTCGATCACCCCCCTTCGCCACGCCATTGTGTACACGAATTCGTATAATTGTGCGTCATTTCACATTGGACGGAATGGATTTGTTGAGAACAACGCGTAGGGCGGCGCGCGTGACGGACCATAGTATAAGTATCGCCACTACTAGTGCTGCACCTATGTCCAACATGAAATGGCTAGTCCACGATGCGTCGGCCGACGAGGGTCTGATATTGTCTTCCTTTCTGTGTCGAATCAAATATTCGACCCAGTAGACTACGGACGCGGAGGGCGTCATGGGGCGGTCTCGGAACAGGGACGACACCCGTTTGGCGTTTTCTGAAAAACTAAAGAAAAAAATAAACTCGTAAAAGACATAAAAATATTACCTTAAAAAATATGTTATGACTTAATATGGTAAATTATGGTAGGTGTGTGTACATTTTTATGATGTATAATAAATAATAATACCCACACGGGGGGATGAGGTGACCGAGTGGTCTGACGCGTCCGCTGCGACGCAGCCGGTCGCGGTTCGATCCTCGGCTACCGGGCGGCATTTTTCTCCGGACAAGTCGCGGTGACCGGAGAACAAGTGCTGCCATCCCCCACCCCCGGGGCATGGCAGAAACCTACGGGTGCCCGGTGCCCCATTCGAAATTCTGCCAAAAAACAAACACACACGTGTTTCCCCCCTACCGTTCCAAAAAATTGAAAATATACAATACAAACCTACAATACAAATCCTACTACAGCTAATGGCCTCAGTCGCCGAAGCTTAAGATCAATAAAAAAAAAAAAAAAAATACCCACACAACACAATAATATATATACCTGCAGTTTTGCTGTGTTGAAACGAAATGGTGGGTTTGCTGTACACTCGTGATACCTAAGTGGACTTAGATAGGGAGGGTCACAGGAGCTAGGCATTATCCCCCTCCCAAATATGTGCACTATAACTCTCCAAATGAGCTATCAGTTAAATAATTTATTTTTGGTAAAGTATATTATAGCATATTATATTATTATCCATATATTTCCTTTCCTCGAAATTAAAATATAAAATAAGTTGATTCGAAATGAAATAGTACTATAATAAAATCATAAATAATAATAAAACAGTAATTATTGAGTAATTATAAATGTTGGTCAAGCACTTTTTACAGTCAAAACATATTTGAGATTTTATATTGGATTGCAACTATCTCGGTACCACGTGTATACGACTTAACAGTGTCATCGAACTCCCACCTCGAAGTTTTCGGTTCAGTTGTGTTTGCCGACTACGATACGCTTGGGGTCTCGAAAACAGAAGGGTCCAAGAACAATCGTGTCGTATTCTTACAAATAGGAGTTTCGTTCAATATTGTTGTAAGTCAGGTTTCTATAGTATAATTGATAATAATATGTATTATATGAATGTATTTGGGACGTGATTATTGGGAGGTTTAACCTCCCCGATGTAATATAAGAATCACGAGGACTAATTTTCCATAAACATAAAATGTTTTGCTTTTTTTCAACATTATAGTTACGTTAGTAGTTACGAGTTAAGTAGGTATCGAACTATTCGAAAACAAAATAATAATTTTTCTACCAGTTTCCATAAGTTAAATATAATCTTTACTAAAATAAACTCTCATTTTGAACTTTTAAGTAATAATCTGTAATGATTATTATGATAAAAAAAAAAAATTATTTCTGTGTTGGTAAAAAATAAAGGTATACCGATAGCTGGTATAGGTAACTAAATTACAAAATATGTCAACATTACTGCTGGCTAGTTGGTTACTTGGCAGTAGGGTAAAAAAAATATGCTTGATAAATATTTTATTCCTCTTGCTTTAGCAAGACTATGCAAACTTAAGTTTCATTATTATTATATTTTAAAAACTTTTATAATATTAACAATTAATAATTGCTATTAATTATTATTTTTTAATATTTACATATTATTTAAAAGAATTAATAAAGTCTCAACTGGAGTTCGCACCCCCACTAAACTTTTATTGATTAAATAAGATTTATTTTTTAAGAACAAAAATGATTATATACTAACCTAATTATTTATATCAATTTAATTTTTTTTAAGTGCATTTTTAAGCGAAACCAGTTTTTGACAAACTATATTTTGTTTTTTTTGTATTAACATATAACCGTAGATACTTGAAATTATCACCAAATGTTTATAATATGATCATGTTCATAGATGGAATAATTTTAAAAACATTTTGACTCTGCTTGAGCTATTTATAGAGATCAAAAATGATTAAATTTTTAATCATTGTCGATGGTCAAAATGCTTGAAAATTTAAAACAAGGTTCGTAATAAGTTGTTTTTCTATAAAAAATATCAACACAGTTTTTTAAGAGATATTTTAAGTTAAATTTGGACAACATTAAATATAAACGAAGAAAAATAATTTTAGTTATTTTGTTGTAATTTAAAAATATTCTTCGTGGGTACTTGAAATTTTAATATATATTATTACACTTTAAACACACAATGATTTTTTCAAATGCAATTTTTTTACCATTAAATTACTCAGAAGCCTGGCCTAACTCATAAAATGTATCTAGTAAAATAGGCTGACGGACTGCATTTAATCAGAATCGGTATTCTTGAAGATACAATGATATTTTTAAATTGAATTCAAATCTAGCACATCTATTACAGTTACCCCTTACAACACATAAAGTGTACAGCAGAGCGATAACCACTTGCTCAACCTTTTTAAAAAAAAACATTTATTGGGTGATTTTAAAATATAATATATTTATAATAAACCACTTATGAAATTAATGTAACTAGATAGTACCTTTTATCTTTGATTAATCGGTTTATAGCTTCAGATAGTGTTGTATGAGTCAAATTATTGATATTCATAGACAACGCTATACCGAGGTCCACCAGATTTTGAATGTTCCTAGGTTGGTCGTAAAACAACGGCATCCCAAGAACTGGAACTCCCGCATCTACAACTTCGTAGACTCCACTCATCCCGCCGTGACTTATGAACAATTTTACATTTGGATGTTCTATAAATTCAACGTTTTAAAGTCGATTTAAAAACCAGTATATACTCAAATGCTTGAATGAAATCTTTTCATCGTAAATTATTGTAAATATTTATAAAATATAATTAAACATTTTTCCAGCCTTTATTTTCATGAGTTTGCGTATTAATATTATTTATAAATGTATTCATTTAGTTTTATTATAGACAGCTTGACGTGATCAAATGATCTCTATCATCGTCTCATACATAGTAAGGATCGTCAAAATTGTATAAATAAAAATGTGCCATTCGGTATTCTAAACGTAGTTACCTACATATTAAATTATAACAATATCATTTCATTGCATTATTTTAATGATTTAAATATTTGAAACGTTATAGATTGATTATTAAATTACCTTATGGTTTGTAAGAGTTTCGGTAGGTGTGGGTCCAAGTTTATTTGGTTCAGTTACCAATAACATTAACGGTTTCAATTAACATAACAAATATGAACAACTCTAAATGTATCTATTTAACTCACGTAATATAGCACGCTGTGGTAACCATTTACATAACATCACATTTTCTGGCTTGTCGGGCATGTGATCGTTCTCGTACTTCCAAATAACCGTTTGGGGAAGTTGGCTAAACACGATTTTAAACGCATCTAATACATCATTGGGCAGTGTATTCATGGAGATCAAAGAGCCAAAAGTAAATACGATTACGCCGAATTCATTACTCTTGTCTATCACATCTGCTAAATCCTCCAGGAAAACAATGAATGTCCGGATAATTAACAAAAACAATAATTATAATATAACTTTCATTACATCAGAAGTCAGAACTAGTTTCATGATAGTGTCATGAAGCTAATTTAGACAAAATTTAAAGGCTGAGGAATGAATGTTATTAATTTAATATTTTCTTGGATCTATGTAAACTTAAAAAAAAAAAAAAAATTCAATGAGATATTGAAAAGCTTCGGAATTGAATTATGCTAATAATAACATAACATTTTTTATCCTGCAGCTGACCAGTATGATGATGGGACATAATATAATTATATAATTATAAAAATGGAATGAAGAAAAATTGAAATAGTATAGTAAATATTTTCATATTTCGGTAGGCTAGGAATAGATACCTATACTTAGTCCAAATTTGAATCCATAATTTTTTGGTGTCATTTTGATAAAGTAAAGAACATATTTCGTTTTTGAATAATATATGGTACAACTGCCATGGGGGGTGAACCTGTGAGAGCAATACAATATTAAATATTCTATAAATAGTGAGTGTGTGGGGGGGAGGTAATATCTAACAAATAGTAAACAATGATATATTTATGCATTCGACATCACCATTTTGCAATTAGGGTTATAAACGTGCTGGTGTAACAAGAAACGCGAAAGACTCAAAAGTAAGTTTTACATTTTTTGAACCTCAAACAAAATTGGGGTGATGGATGGATGATAAGACACTTACTCTGGGAATCGGTTTGAGAGGCTGGTTCAGGTGAATGCCTCCGATTTCAAGGACGTTGGGCCCCACCGGCCGACTCGGTTCTATCGAGTGATGCGTGTTGACAAACACCATGCTGTGCCGGTGATCCGGCCACCGGTGGTCGCGGCCCACGTCGTTGTACCACCGGACCAGCGTGGTGTGAGCGTACACCAGTGCATTCGCCAGCCGGTGGCCGAATGTCACTGGTGTCGGTCGGTCGGCAAGCATCGCTCCTAGATAAGATGGATGGTCGGGGGCACCAGTGGCCGCTGGCATCCAATTGACCGTCGGTGACGGGACTACGTAGACAACCGGCAAGCCAAGCCTATCGGGCAGTGTGGACATGCACTCTGAGTGCAGTGACTCCATGATGACAGCGTCGAATGCGGGACTGCGTCCGTCCAATATGTCACGTATTTCCGGCATGTCGAACAAGTATTTACACACGTACACCGCCCGGCTGGTGGCCAGCCCCACCATGAACGCGTTCGACCGGAAGACTTTCATCACATGTGCGTAGTCTATGTCTCGAGCTTTTTGTAGTGAACCGGTGACCATCGACGACATGTCCACGTGTGTGTAATTGGGATGAGCGGCCAACCTATCGGTGGCCGGGTGAATGGTCAGGCACACCACCTCATGCCCAGCGGCCACCAAGCTCTCCAGCACCGCTGACATGACGTTCCAATGGCTGTGGCCGGCGGAGGGCTCACACGCCAAGATCCGGTGAGCCGGAATTGTCGACAAGCAGCCGATCGAACACAGGACGATGATAAAACGGATTGCTCCGGAACACATGTTCTGAAAAACGATTCGCGCACGGCGTTAGGTTGGTTTGGGCTCCTGTACAGTGTTCATGTCATTTTGCGTCTTCGAGATAACTGTATTTATGGCGTTGTATAAAGTGTAACTTGTTGATGTTGAGCATTATTTTAGACTTTGAGAGGACGCCATGCTAAGGCTGACATGGAAATGGGCATAAGAACGAATTAACGGAACTTCGACTCAAACGGTTGAAAAGCAACTTTCAAAGTAATACAACTAATACAAATTATTAATGAAAACAATAATTTCGAGAGCCATTTTTTTAGCATTTCATTGCGGTTTATCATGCATACAGTGTATATTATATATTATTTTATCCCCCAGGTGTATTTTTCTCTAATCAAAAGTAGGAATGTCCTGTTTATAGGTTTATACGATATTACGATAATAATATTATGTTAGCATTGTTAAATTTTAGTGACTTGAAAGTTTTTTGTGACTGTCGATTAAAATTTTAATTTGATATAGCTACCTTTTTTTCTGACCCGACGACGCCCGAGAACTAGTGGGTACAATATTACTCTTCGAACGTCGTCAATATATAGATTATAGGTAGATAGTAATTAGATATTGAGATACCTTCCTGTTAGAATGAAACTATTGAAACATTATCTGAGATTTACCTATGCACGATGCTTTCTTATGTTTGTTTAATCATAATATAAAAATGTTAAGCACTTATTAATTTATAAATCAAACATGTAATTTGTTATTTATTCATTAATTGAGTTACTATCAAAAAAAAATTATATAAATCCCCAGTATTATTTGGTAATTTTACTATGAGTACCTAGTTAAGTAACTTATACATTGATAAATGTTGACCACATTGAATATTCAAATGTATAATTCGAAATGTTTATGTATATAATACGTCTATATTATATAATTTTATTGATAATTACCTACTGTATTTTAAAATAGTTGACATATGAATGTTATAATATTGTTATTTAATATGTAGATTAATTAATTAATTATCTTACCTTAAAACAAGATTGTGGTGAGTATGAATTATAAAAAACAATCGGTGATCAATTTTAAAGAATATTTTTTTTCTCTCATCAATGTAATATTTTATTTAGTAATATGGTTAAGCATATACTGAATGGGTATACCTAATATAATATTATTTATCAGTTGTATTTTACTGTTTTAATATTTATGAGCAGGTAGTAAGGCTATCAATTATTATGAATTGATAAGATAAATTTATTTATTACATTTTCACAACATACAATTTAAAAGTTTGGCAATTGAGTAAGAATTTATATGATTAATTATATAATATATTTCTATGTGTACAAAATATTATATCGCATGTTTGATTTGGGATTACGAACTACAGCTGTTCATGGTTGCAAAGTGTTTATACTTTTTTTTACAAGTTGCAAAGTATTAAACTGTTTAAAAACATTCTGTGTTGATAAAATTGTATTGCGTTCAATATACTTAATAATGGATTGGTTGTATAATTGAGTGTATATTTTACGAGTAAAGTACTTATAGGCGTCAGTCATAATATTATAACCTATAGGTAGGCTGGCGGTTGGCATACATAACTGTGTGAAATAAATAATATATTTTCTTAAACAAAAATGATGACTAAGTATGTTTTATTGTGATAATATGTATCGAATGTTCTGGAATTTAATAAACAATATATCTGGCATGAATCTCATTCAGAATTTCTTATTATTTTACAAATTGTATAACCAGTACAAGATTAATGAATTGGAAAAATAAAAGAAAGGGTACTCTTCGACCCAAATAAAATTATCATCTCTTGAAAATATTGAACTGAAGATTTCATAACCGTCAACCAACAGTAATCAAACCAATAATAATTACAATTATGTCCGACTATCCGATGATGCCAGTACCCATAAAATCTACTTATTAGCGATCAAAATAAACATTTTTAAACAATATATTTAGTCATTTATCACATTAAAAATAATTTTAATTAATTAAATTTATAACTAATATAATATATTTTGTTTAAGCTTGTATTTATATTCCATAGCTTTAATACATTATAATGACTATAACTATAAGTTCATGAAACTGAATCTGAATTAATTATACAATACAATTTAAAAAAATATAAAAATTACTGAAAATTGTGTGAAAAAAAAAATATTTTGTAAGAAACCTCTACCTACCTACTTTTGAAAATAATTTGTAGGAATGTTACCAAAATGAAAAAAAATCTTGGTTGAGCTCTTTTCAACTTTTCCACCGAGCACTGCTAACAACAAAATTAAAACAAGATATTTGTATAAGTCGTTCGAGTTCTGATTGTTTGATTTTGAACACAGTATATTGTAATTTACCATGCAGGTTATTAGATAAAAAATTGTTTTTATAATTAAAATACATTTTTAATTTATGGCTAAATTAAATTTTCAAAAGATTGATATTTTATTATATGTGATATGTGAATAAAATGTGTTTAGTTGATATAGACCACGGTTATCTAGTAGATAACCGTGATATAGACCCAATATTATTATGTAATGGCTAATAATCAACGCTATCTGTGTTTAATTCATTAATTTTAAAAATACTGTCACTCGAACTTTATAAGGGGTTTTAGAATAGGCAATTTCGTTTATTTTTTTTATAAGCGAGAATATAACGTCTCAAATATTAAAAAAAAAATTATTACACATTAATTCATAATTAATAACATAGTCATTAATCGGTAACTCGATACCTCGAGTGTTATTTTTTAATTAGATAGGTACTTAGATTGAACTAAAGAGTAAAGATGTTATAAGACAAGAAATGTATTCTATTGGTTTAATTAAATATAGTTATGTACAATTTACAAAAAAAATGTTCAAAATCTATGTGTAATTGGAAAAAAACTGTTTATCATAAATTAATTATTCTCCTCGTCAATTTGTTATGGAAATTCATTTATAGATATTTTTATATGGTATTTATAAGGTATTGAATTATTGTTATACGTATCCTTTATTCCCTTGTAATATGGGATTTTTACACTTGAAGTATGACCGATATAGACCCTTTTAAAGGTGCTGATTGTGATAATTAATAAAAATTAAAAATTATATTTGGTTATCCAACCTATATTACAAAATGTTGTTAAAACATACAAATATACATTATTTAGGTATAGAATAGAAGTAGTTTTATGATTGTTTTTGATTCTCATATTATCATGGGATTTTCTGAATATATTAATAATTTTTAATTAATATTATGTATTTTTAAAGTTACTAACGAAATCTTAAATGTAAAATACAATGATAATTGGACAAAAGTATGAACTTAAATGGATATCTGCCTACTATTTGTTTCCTCTCTCTGACCCATGACAGTGCTCTCGGCCCATTTTTTACTTGTTATAATAATGAGAAAGTAGGTACTGAATATTATTGTAATGGATCTTTGTAATTAAGAAAATTTTAAATAAATATATATTTTAAAAGATTTCCAAGATTAATATTATAAAACGGAAATGAATACTTTTTAAGGTTAAATCTTACAGATTAATAGTAATGAATTATTACTAATAACCAATGAATTTGTTCAGACTTAAAAGTTACTATTGCAAACATAAGATTTTGAGTTTTTCTCAATCTTTCTAAAAATAAAAATTGTCTGATTCTTACATTGTATCTTATAACCTACCTACTTCATTCACACTACAGAGATTTTAAAATCGTAGCACATTATAATTAACAATTTATATGATGTTCTAAATGTCAAATGTTAACACTTCAGGTGTTTATAATTTCAATGTATTGAAATGTTGAATAACGATGTACAGTGACGGACTGGACTTAAATTTTCAATTACGGAGCTTTCATATTTAAGTATTCTCCTCTCCCCATTTTTACTTATAATAAAGTTATTATGTAAATGAAATGTGGCTGAAAGAGCCAAGAGATCAAGACTTACCATGACATTCCACAGCTTCACGCTCCACAGTTATGGAATGGCAGTGTGGCACCACTCACTTTAAAAAGTTACGTCAAAATTGAGCTCTTCAGCTCGCCACTGACGATGTACGAAATATATTTTAGTGAATTATTTTATTTATTAAAATTGTACTTACTTTTCTTAACAAATATGTATATAAGAGTGTACTTAAAATATCAAGTTTGTTTGAATATCGAATGTCTTTATGTATGAGCTTTCCGAAGTCATTTTATTAGCGTGTATCCACGATGGATGATCAAAGTGAATATATAATCCATAAGGATATTATGTTCGATTGAATAGATGTAAACATTATAATATGCAATCACACGAGTAGTTGAGATTTAATTTACATGTAGTTTTTAAAATTGTTATACCTACCTACATATTTAAACTGTAAAGCGAATATTGCAGCTAGGCTGGGTGTAGAAACACTTGACACCGATGCTACTCTAGTCCTGATATGTATGAATATTGCTGTTATTTGTAAGCCTACTCAATGAGATCTTCCCCTAAGTAAAATAAAATTAATTTACGTAATGTAAACAATAAATTTATAGATTTAATTTCTTAAAATTTTTGTAATCTAAAAGTACAATATGTCAATATGTATATTCACAAAAAATATAATAAATCGTAGGTACATTTGTACCAAATACAGTCGATTTAAAAACATTAATTGTAATTGTACATTACAACAGTATTTTAATTTAGAGAATAGTTTAGTCAATGTTATGATGACTATGTATTTTTTATAAAATATGTTTCTTATATTACATTTTGATATCTAATCATTATATTTTTAAAATTATATTATGAATTATGATTATAGATTATTATGACCTAACCTAACCTAGATGTCTAGATAGTGGATATAACACGGGACAAGGTGAATTTACTGCATTTTCCCAATTACATTTTTGAATACAATTAAAAACAGTATATAACCTCTAAGTCAGCCTTTCTCAAAGTGTGGGTCGTGACCCACTACTGATGGGTCGTCAGTCAATTTTTGGTAGGTCAGGAACATTTTTTTGAATTATATAGATTCCAAGAAATTTATGATTGAAAACTACTGCTCTAAGTTGAAGTTTTTAACTATACCTTTTCAATCCAAATATTTATTTTTGTTAGTGTTTCCTTATTGGACTACTCACGGTATATCTATACATATTTATAGATAAAATAAAAATAATAATTATTAATAAAAATGAAAAACTGTTCGTTAGTCTGCTAAACCTCAAAAACGGCTTGACCAAAATTGCCGATTAATTTTTGTGTTTTAATGCAGCCATGTAGAAGTGGTTTAAAAAGGAAAATATTTGGGAAACTAGCATTTTCAAGAGGTCAAACAATGAGTTTAAGATTCACTGTGGTAATTGAAACTTTTTATTTGTGTATAAATAGTTGCCATTTGTTGCAGATTATAAAAATAATAGTAAAAATTATAATTTTTTTTGGGTCATTGATTGTGATTGGTTCGATACGTATCAAATCGTATTTTCTTGGATTGCTCACCAAGGTAGCTGAGTTGCACTTATGGCCGCTTATCGGCGTGTCCACAATAAAAATAAGAAATGAAAAAAGCACGGGATAAATTATGGCACAGACTATAGGTATAACTTGGTAAAAATGGTACACCTATGGCTAATTTTTCGCGTATTGTCCGCTAAAAGCTGGAGGTGATTTTATGTGATTAACATTAAACAGTTTCAATCCGGGTCGTATTGATTTCGGCGGGGATCTTATCATAATATTATACCTTCTTGGTATGAATTAAAACGATGTCATGTGTGTTTATTAGTATGTGTATATATTATAAAGGTATATAAAAACGAATGCGTGGCTGTTTGTTTATCCTTTATGCCATCCCTGCATCCTTTATGTCCGAGGATAACTTTGGGAAGTTCTTGACAACACTCCCGCGAAGGTTTCAGCCATATTACAATCTGAACTGTGTTACACCAAAACCGAAATAAACCAATGTAACGGCGTATTTTGTATTAGCTGATCATTTTTTCCCGGAAATCAGGTGAAACAACCATATCAAAAACCACTGGATGGAATTGAATTCAAGTTTGAATCATACTTAGAGTTGGCATTTTTAAACAGAAGTCTCCTTTTGTATGTACGTAAATATATCACGAAAAGTATACTCAACAGATTTTAGAACAGTTTTCATTAATGTATTAGCCAAGTCTTGGGGATGGGCTTAATGTATAATACGTGGAAGAAAAATTAATTTAATTGCCAAAAAAAAATAAAAAATCTATATCTATACCTTCTTAAATAAAGTGCCAAAAATGTTTGAACGCGCATCACTTCAAAGCGGCTGTACCTATTTGTCTAATATTTTTTTTGTGTTCGTAATTATCAGTATAAGATTTGTATGAAAGAACGTTTTAGGAAAAACCACTGGAAAAATAGAAAATCTAGAAGCGCGCAATCTGTCCAGAAAAATAAAATAAAAATCAACTGTTGTAACGCATTAAACGAAAAAACACGGGATGTATACGACTGCACAACTATTAAATATAACTTAGTAAAAACGATATTCCTATCGGCTATCACTAATTTTTTACCTGTTGTTTCGCTAAAAGCTGGAGGCGTCGTGGTCACCCGATCAATGACAACTACAAGATTATAATATGATTAATATTAAACAGTTTCGTACGAATCTTGTGGGGTCCAAAATCCACCACAGGTTGATTACCTACCTTATTATAATATAATTTAATAACAACTAACAAACGACTCTCAAGGGCAACGGCTGAAGAAAAGATTAAATAACGAATGAACTTGTACAACATTTGAATTATATAGAGTTGGCATTTGAGATGGCCAATGAAATATACGGGATCAGCTAGTATTGTAAACATTTGGAATCAGTTTTTTATTAATGGCTAATTTCAGAAACTACTTTAGACCGACTACAATAAATGTTCTATTAATAGATTCCTTTTGACTAGACGGGTGTTTTAAGATTTTTTTTCAACCACAGTAGGTTTCTATAGAGTGGCTCGCACACGCCACACGAGTATGTCATTTTGGCTCACGAAAATCGAATTGTTTTTTATTTATGTGTGTGGTTGCCATTGGTTACAAAAATACATTTCAATGAAATGACTTGCCTATTCACTATAGGTGTTGCTATGGTATTTTTTTTTTAAATAAAACAAAATGATTTTTAATTTATTGTTATTGTTATATTGTTATTCAAAATGTAAGTACAGAAAAAATCAATATCTTTATGTGTGTAGTTTATTAGCTCAAAAACTATTCCATCGATTTTGATGATTTTCAAAGATAGTTCTTACAGAGATTTTTATAGATGATAGTCGGTTGAACCACGTTCGAAAATATACCAAGTTTTATATTAAATCTGCCGCAGGTGGAATTGGTTGAATTATTTCACAAATCGAAGTATATCAATGTCGATTTTTCAGTGAACTGAGGTTTATTAACCGAGATACTGCACCATATTTTATGTTTATTAATTTTTGCCGGGTGGAGTGGGGTATACTACTTATACTGCTATTATTATATATTCCTAGTAGGTACCTATTTGAATTTGTCATTGTTCATATTAATCGAAACTTTGCTAATTATTATTGTATTATATCATAAGTAATAACGGCCCTCATTTAATATTTTATATTGTTTGTATCGTTTTGAAAACAACTTTAGATATACTTAACACAGCATTCTGAATAGTCTATTGGGTTTCAATATTATACATGTATTTGGTTTGAAAATTGGTATGGTACACGAGAATCATTAATTAATTTATAAATACAAATATTAATAACATTTATCAACTTCAATTTTATTATTTTCTTAGAAGACGATTTATCATAGATAGTTGTCTGTTATTACTTATTTCAAATCTGGACACTAATTCGATGGTATGCAAGAAATTACAAGATAAAACGTATTCCATCGTGAGTCAATGTCCAGTAAACAACATAATTTAATTTTGAGCATTGAACATCGTAGTTTGTACTCAAATCGACAGTTATCGTATAAATTATACCATTTTTTTTTATCATTTTCCTAGTAATATTTTAAATTAAATTAATTATCTACTAATGATTATACACAACTATTAAGGCCTCTAATTGTCATACACTGGCTTATTAAATTAAAGTCTAAGTTCAATTATTGAATTACTAATGCTCCATTCATGTAAAGTAAAGCTACGCACCTGTGCACTTATCGGCTGCCCAGGTTTTTTCTTAACATTAATGGAGTATTATTCTTAAGTAATAATCAAACATTGATAATGTATGAATAATAATTCGATACAAATATAAAGTGGATAAAATAATACTACAGCGCATAAAAACGTTAATATGATTCTATATAACTAAATCAAAAGATTAAACATTTTACTATGATAATCACAATAATATAATTTAAATTAGACTTAAACACATCAGTATCTAAAGAAAATAATAAGCACACTGTATAGAAATGTTATAGTTATTAACAATACGGTTAATTAGGTAGGTACCTACGGTAATATCAGTTGTAGTGCTACAGCGTTTCGAGTCAGTAAATTAAGTCCAGGTGCGTATTTTTTTGTCGATATTGCTGTTTATTTTATAGTGTTTTGTACTTGAAACTGTGATCTACGCAGACGAGTTTTATTATTTATATTGCTAAATATGATGGACTAATGAACACTCTGCAGTCACCAAAAATGTGATCTTTATTTGTTCAAACGTATTCATAGGCCTTAGCTAATATTATACTCGATGGCACGCAGAACGTTTGACGATGCTATAGAGGCTCTTTTTTAGTACTGGTTGGAACGGTATAACAAATTATTATATTAACAAGACATTTATAAGTTATTAAGTCTTATTCAAATAGATTACAAATCTATGTATTTTTCTTAATCTTTCTACACATTTATCATTTTATACAATGAAAGATTACAATATTATAATGGAAAATGATACTTATATTTTGGATAAATTATAGACTTAATACCTACTAGAGATCTCTTTACAGAGATCTTTTGCAAGTCATTTTTTCAGCCCAAACCGGTCCGCAATTTTTAAAACACTAATAAAACACTAATATGTATTAAAATCAAATACAGTAGTATTATTTATCCGTTTATCCATTATAATATAGTTTGATATAATATAATATTATGATATATGTACCGAGAATATTATGCGCTGATTTATTTTTTCATCACACTGTCCAATATGCCCACCCGTATAATAATATTATCATGCTCATTGGCTTGACATACGGTCTGTTTCGTTTAAGCGACAGTATAATAGCAGGTAACTGTTGTAATAGGTAGTGCACGGTCGTGGAAATGAACGCATCATGGTGCATTGCGATGATAGCGGTCTGCGCACTGACGTCGGGACGATACTACCAAGCCGCGAACGGCGCTCGAATCCTGGCCATGATGCCGATAGCGGCCAAGAGCCACTGGAACGTGGTAGACTCGGTGTTGCAGACGCTAGTGGCCCGCGGACATCACGTGACGGCCATCACGCCGTTCCCCAAGAAGTCGCCGGTGGCCAATTACACGGAAGTGGACATGTCGCGTCTGATGCCGTCGGGAGTCAGCGTGCCTTGGGACACGGTCTTGGGCGAATGTTCGGTGCACAACAACCTGCCGTTCCTCTCGGGCCGTCACAAGGATATGTGTCGGGCGGTATACGAGCATGATGAGTTCTGGCGGGTCATCGAAACGAACAAGTAAGGCGATCATAATATTGTTGACTGTTATCTGCCTGTTTATATTTATTGTATGTGTAAACAACTAAATATTCAAGTGTATCCCTCATAGCTGCTATCTCATATATCGCAGTAAAGGAGCGGTATACTGATATTTAAATGCATTTGCACAATGTTCCCCATACGACTGAACCAACTATTGCTTTTAGTAAAATGATTATAGTGAAAGAAATGGGTAAGTACACCCATAGCGCGCCATATCTCCAGTTTTAACATCTACGTTTTTTTAAACATTTTTATTCGAAGTCTAGCTGAACCTTGTTAAAAGTCTGTGTTTATAACATTTGTACATTTTTTCAAGAGTGGGGTCCAAAAATGCAACTATCACATATAGATACAAAATTACCCACATTAAATGATCTTTTATTAAAAATTATACTTATAACTTATAACATTTTATTTATTATTATTTATTTATTATAAGAATAAACGCCGACTGGTTTCTACAAAATATTATATAAGATGATCAACTTAAATATGATTAGATAATAGTAGTATACTATTATTATACACGAATACTATGTTAAAATTTAAAATGCATAATTACAATTCAATATGTTACTTTTAAAAATAAACAGTCAGAATAATCAGCACTAATAAACAATATAAATAAAATATAGCATATTATTACATTAATATGTATTGAACCATTATTTTTAATTTTTATAGATATGACCTGTTTATCACCGAACTACTAGCCTCGTCGTGTGATGCATATGTGTCTTATTATTTACAAATTCCACAGATAGTCATTGTGTCGAGCCATGTTCATACATGGTACCATCATACTTTCGGTAGTCACATGAACCCTGCGCACATTTCCACTTACCACGCACCGTTCGCTGTGCCCAATAACTTCATACAGAGATTGATGAACTCATTTGATTACTTGTACTCACACATGGTGTTCAAATGGGTCGACAGGGAATCGACAGTGATCGGTCGAAAATATTTCGGTTCTGACGCACCAGACGCTGATACCCTAATGAAAAATTCGTCATTAGTGTTCGTCAACGGGCATTATACAGTGGACTTGGCCAGGCCTCTTTTGCCTAATTTCGTGAACATAGGTGGAATTCATTTAGTGCAGCCAAAACCATTGCCTAAAGTAAGACATATAAGTATATAACAACTATGATTGAAACATATTTTACTCTTAAATTACTATGTTTTTTTTTTAGGATATTGAACAGTACATCGATGATTCACCGAATGGTGTTATATTCTTTACGCTAGGATCTGTGATTCGATTGGAAACAGCACCAGCATACTTGCAGAAAGTGTTCGTTGAATCATTGGCCGAAATACCTCAAAGGGTACTATGGAAGTATGACGTTCCAAATATAGGAGACCTATCAAAAAATGTTAGAATAGGGAAATGGTTTCCCCAAAGAGATATTTTAGGTACAAATTTAGAAACCTGTATCATAATAATTTGTAACTACTAGAGTAGGCAATTAAATAATGAGTTAGGTATGCCAAGGGTTTTAAGTAGGTAAACTTATCTACACTTTATTAATATGTATTAGGTATGCGATAATTAATTAGAACAATTATAACATTAAAGTATTTAAGGCCAGTTTAAATACTTGTTTAATATAGTTTATACTCATAATTTACACTCATCAGCGAATATAATTTATTATTATGCATGCTTTACTTGCTGCCCACTGCCTTTTAAGATTGTTTATATTTAAAATTTGAATATATTTCGTTCATCAAATACAAAATATAAGGACGTCTATCAATAACTATTTTGTTTCAGAACATAAGAATGTCAAATTGTTTATATCTCATGGTGGTATGTCTGGGATCTATGAAGCCATAGATAGTGGAATACCTGTACTTGGTATACCTCTATTTTTCGATCAATCACACAACATTGCCAACATAGCTCATTGGGGTGCAGGCATAATGTTGGATCACAAAACGTTGACCAAAGATATATTTGTGAATGCTATCAAAGAAATGACAACTAACTATGATAAGTAAGATATTTTACATTGAATTCTATAGGCTACAACAGCGGTTTTTGACCTTTTAAAAACACTGCACACTGTACTCTGTACTCTCCACAACATTTTTACGGCACGTGCCTCAGCCATGAACAACTTTTTCTATGACGAAGATATTATTTTTATTATTGAAGTGAATACTTTATAGGTGACAGAGAACCGTTTAATACAGTTTTTTTTTATCTAATAAAACACTGACGAAAATGACCACTCAAACTCAAATATTTAATCAACTAAATACAAAAATAAGATTACTAAAAATGTGCTTATATAGATCAATCTCTCGTCCATGTTGTGAAAAAATAGAATATTTTGACAGAATTCAAATCTAGGTAATTATTGAAAAGTATTGTTGGAATTAGAGTTGTCTGTTTGAGTGAAAAAGAAATGTATACTTAGATTTCGTTATAATATATTTCTTGGTTACCTAGGAATTGTTTTTCTAAATTATTATAGCTCTACTAGAAGTATAGCAGTAATAGCATAATTCGATAGTCGACAACCATCCAGTAAAGTTCGATTTTGTGTTATTATATTTTCTTCACATTAATTATAAACACCAATTGATTTATATTTTAAAATATGACTTTTTTATTTTAAAGTCACTAGTATAAAACTATGATAACTTAAATATAATATTATTAATTATTATATTTTTATAAATTATACCTATTATAAAAATAACTTTCAAAAGCTCAAGATGCATAAGTTGCATATTTTATAAATTAGCTACTTTGAATTTTAGTTATAACTGTGAATATTATTCTAATGAATCATGAATGATTTGATTTCACAATAATAGTATAAACTTGCCTATGCTTTTTAAATTTAAAAAGCTGGAATTGTTTGGACTATTAATCGCTGCTATCACACTGGTTGGCCAATCTCTTACATATCATGTCTCTCTAGTAGTATATTATCATATACAATCAATAAATATGATATATATAGGTAATGTTTTTTTTCCTAATATTCAAGAATATAATATAATTTTGCATTTATAGATACAAATTAAAAGCGATGGAACTTTCTAGAAGATTTAAGGATCGACAGAATACACCAAAAGAAGAAGTCATATATTGGACAGAATATGTAATCAAACACAAAGGCGCACATCATTTAAAAACAGCTGCTTTAAAATTACCTTGGTATCAATATTTTTTAATTGATATTCTAATTGCCGTTGTATTAATTGCTTTAGTTAGCTTAAGTGTTTTTATTCTTTTATTAAAAACTATTAAAAATCTTGTCTGTAATGTAAGTAAACCAAAAAAAGAATGAATACTACAAATTCTAATTTTAAATATTTTTAAAAAGTGAATGTGAAATAAATATTCATTGTTATTGATTTCAATAGGTTTTATTTTTATTTTTAAAAATTGACTAATTAGGTGTTTTATATTTATTCTATCGATAGATTGTAAATGTACCTTTTTATGAAATTGTAGTTCATCAAATATAGTACAAACTTATTATACGAAAATGTACGAATAAATCATAATATAAGCCTTGAACACTGGTAGAGAGTTGTAAGGCTTAGGTTGTGATTCATATATAACCTACAAACTAGAAGTGCTAATGATCGCCATTACTGCGGCATCTACCATGCCGACGTGGTACGTCCATAATAAAATTTCTAAGGGGTATTTTCTATTCGTATTTTTAATTAATGGGCTTCAGAGTGTTTTTTTTTTATAAAATTCATGGTCTACACGTTGGGGCGATACCACCGAGTGGTGTGTACTGTCGAACACGGTGCGAGGTATGCCGACTGCAGGTGCTCTGGCCACCGGAGAGCCACCGGACCGGTGTGGTGGACGAACACCACGGATGTTGGCCGATCGACGAATAGAGCATCCAGATATGACCGTGGCCACTGGATTCCGGATTGACCGCTTGGATGACTAAAAATTTAGGCGGTGATCATGTGTGCAGCGACTCAAATAAATTTCGCTGGACATGAGTTCGTACACGCGCAGCTCCACTATACAGTCAATATTTTTAATGCACTGCCGTTTGTCATTTTGTTCACATGGTTCAATTGGTTGTATAAAATTGAACGTTTGGAAAATAGGATGTCGAATAAAAATAAAAAGTAATAAGATGCACAATATTATGGTATAAAATTAGCAAAAATTAATCATAACAATTACTATGTAATACACCGTTTAAAACTAGTGAAAATCAATATACGAATTTTAAATTATGTTTTAATTTATTTTAAGTTATGAAAAAAATAATATGACTTGTAAAAAAAAAAATTCCTTACGTTTCCCAAAAATTAGCTATCCCTAACAAATATTCATTAAATCTCTGAAAAATTAAATGTTTTTATGTGTATATTGTACATTTGTACATGCCGTAATCAAATGAATTATCCCTACGAAAAGGTCGGTGACTGATGAACCTATAAAGTTGACTACACATTTAGAGCTCGACCAATGTCACATAACCAATTTTGACGTAAAACCGTGGTCACTACGAACGCGCGTGGTCGACTGCTAGTTTCTCATCACTTGAGCGTAGTCCACGTCCCGGGCCGTTTGGTGCGACGACGAATACGACATAATGTCCACGAGCGTATATTTGGAATAATAGTTGAACATGTCGGCTTGGCCGCCAAGCTTTCCACCATCATCTGTAAGCAACCGATCGACCACAGCAACGTTCGCACGGCGATCGAAAAACGGCGGCGGTGCAGCTGCTCCGGAACGCATTTATGAAATGCTGCTGTCTTTGTGGAGAGGGCGCAAAGGTGCAATAATGACTATTCAGTTAATTAATGAAACGATTATAATGAACATTTATTAATAGGTATTGTGAATTTGTTTTGTTTACAGATAATCGCTTTAAAGTATTATATTATACAGAGGGACAGGTATAGGTAATGCTTTTTATGATGTATTTTTATCTATAATCTATATAAGTAGATCGTAGGTAGCACTGATATCTCTTACAATTAGGTAAAAAAAACAAAATATGATGACTAGGTAGTGATAATTCCAAACAAATAATGCCTGCATGGTATTAATTTGTCTGATAACTCGACATTATTTAATCCAAAAACTTGATAAATTAAATAATACATTCTCGGAATAGGTACTGTGTAATACAAATTAGGTTACTGGTTTGGTTCAATGTGCTTTACAATCGATGGCGTATTATCGTTTAATAAAACATAAATAAATAAATGATAATATAACCTTGTGTTGACGTGTTGTATTAGATTATGAACATTTATGTTTATGTTTTATTCGTTCGAAAGTATTCCTCAAACGATTGAATTTTTACTTTACCGTATAGATATAGCATATAGTTTATCGATAGGTATACTTACTTTATAAATGTTAAGACTATAAAATATTTAAAATGCATTTCACATTAGTTTTTTTAAATGTACACTTTACAATGACTGTTGTTTATGGAGCTCAAATATTCGCTTTCGTGCCGATATATGGACAGAGTCATTGGAACGTTATGGATGCTGTATTACAAACTCTCGTGACTGCTGGCCACAATGTTACAGTTATAACTCCTTTTATAAAAAAAGAAAAAATTGAAAACTACACTCAAGTAGGTACAGCATTTGTTTGTGGTAAGAATAAACAAGAGCACAATTTATTACCGCTGTTGCATTATGTTTGTTTTCATATTATGTACAGCATTACAGCAATCAATGGTTTTCGAAATAAACTTCAATTTTATAAAAATGCCAATGGCCAATGCTGAACAAAATAGGGTACCAACTAATTTTTATTATTTTATTATTTTTCAGATAGATTCTTCTTCCTATATGAGACGGTCGGCGTCGGCACCGTTCAAGTACATAGCTGGATCTGATGGTTCTGAATATTTAATTAATACACATCTAACTTCGTGCGAAGCTATTTATAAGCGCAAAGATTTCTGGACCGTACTCGAATCCAAAAAATATGACCTTTTCGTCACACACTTGTTGGGCTCGGGCTGTGATTCGTACATAGCCTACAAACTACAAGTGCCGATGATCGCCGTTACTACATCTGCCATGCCGACGTGGTACGTTCAAAATAAAATTAACTAGTTATTCTTGATTAACACCTTATGCATCAATGTATTTATATTTTATATAATTTACGTGCGCATACACTTGCATATTGTTTATTAGGTTAAACGGTGAATTTGGCAATCCTTTGACTACTGCGTACACGTCCACACTAAATGTGGCGATGGCGAGTCCTAAAACATTTTGGGATCGTTTTTTAAACAATTACGATTACATACGCTCGAATAGTCAAAGGTGGTGGCACGATCGCAATGCAACGATAATTGGAAGAAAATATTTCGGCAAAGATGTGCCGGATTCTTATACGTTAATGAAAAAAATATCATTAGTATTCGTCAACAGCCATTTCTCTTTTAACCTACCCAGGCCTTGGATGCCAAATCTTATTGAAATTGGAGGTATTCACGTAAATGATCCTAAACCATTGCCAAAAGTACGGAGTTTTTTTTTAAATTATTATTTTTATACCTACTATAATAATTTACACATTTACAAAAACATCCTACCCTTAAGTTTATCATTTTTTAGCGGATTATTGGTATTCCTATTAAATCCATTATAGGAATAAGAGAAAAATTTATAGAAGGATAGGAAATGTAGTCAATAGAGTACAAATATTGAGGGCTGAAATAATGATAGGCATGTTTTTGAAAAACATTGCTATTAGTCATTTTGAGACTGAGTATTATAATTGTTTAGCAAAGCATCCAAAACAAATCCTTAGCCTTAAATAAATGCATGCGTATCATATAAACATTATTAAATAATTGTTTAAAACCTTTCACTTTTACTGATCATTAAAAATATTAATCGTGGATTTTTAATAGGACATACAACTATTTATTGACGACGCTCCAGAAGGGGTAATATATTTCTCATTTGGTTCCACTGTAAAAATGGATTCACTTCCACCAAAAATGCAAATTTCTTTACAAGAGGCATTTTCTGAACTACCACAACGGGTACTATGGAAGTATGATGGTGAAGTAATGAAAAACCAACCAAAAAACGTTATGATCAAGAAATGGTTACCCCAAAGAGATATAATGGGTCCGAATATTATTTCTAATAATATTAATGAGAATAAATAAATATTTTTTTTTACAGCACATTCAAAATTAAAACTATTTATTTATCATGGTGGGTTGTCTGGTACAAATGAAGCCATCATCAATCAAGTACCTATACTTGGCATACCATTATTTAGCGATCAACACAGAAACATAGCAAACGCAGTATTCTTGGGAATGGGTCTAAGTCTAGACTACAAAACAATAGATAAAAAATCAATTGTAGCTGCTGCTAAAGAAATTATCAACAACAAAAAGTAAATTACATTTTTTCAAAACAATGATTTAATAAATTCTAAAAAAGTATAATAATTATAGTTGATCTAAAATTATTAAAAATATAATAAACAGTTACATCTTACATGTATATTTATTTGTATTGTACTCGTATAAATATATACCTATTCTATTCCTATAGGTACAAGCAAAATGTTCAAGAGTTATATCAGTTGTTTAAAGATCGACCTTTGTCTCCAAAAGCGCTAGTTGCATATTGGACCGAGTATGTAATTAAACATAATGGAACTGAACACATGAACTCAGCATCAAAGGACATGTTTTGGTATCAGTATCATCAGTTAGACGTTATATTTGTGATAATATTAGCTTCGATAAGTACATTAGCCATTGTATTATATATTTCGATAATAATTATATGTTCTATTCTTAAATATATTCATTTGAAACAAATTAAAACTGAATAAAGACATTTTAATACAACTGTTTTTGTGAAGTGGTTTTTTTGTTTAGACCTAGGGTATACATTCTAAATCATAAATGTTTAGGTTTAATATATATATCATAATATATTATGAACCCAATATCATACTATTTATAGATACTGTTATAGTAATATTATTGTGTTAAAAAACGTTGTGCAATTTATTATTCTTGATAAGCAGATTTGGTAATAACTAATAAAAACCTTTAGGTCACATTATTCATGATAAAATTCTAAAAAAAATTGGGATTCTCTGTTATTTTTTTTTTTGTATTATAAAGTTACATAAAACAGGCATAAAAAATAAAAATCGATTTATTAAGTAATCAATATTTTTAACTGCGTCTACTACTTATAGTTATAGATGACCAATGGTATTTGAAGGTATGTATGATACCTAAACCTAGACATCCGAGTTAGATTTGGTATCACCCAAGCTTTACACAATCAATAATCACTATGAAATAATTACTGGCGTATAGAAAATATTATATTATTTGCTATATTGTATTATAGCCGTGTAAGTATATAGCATGATATTTGAATAGAGATCTTTGTCAGGGGCCTCTTAAAAAAAACTAAACTTATGTCTTGGTATTTTATTCCTATTTTATGGACAATAATATCATTTATGTCAATCAATATTTTTAATTAAATTCAACTTGTATGATTTATGACTTTTCAGGTAATAAATCTAACGGTATCAATACGAAGGTATCAATACTTTGGTACCAATAGCTAATCACATTCTAACGCATTGCTTGTGAATTTTTCTTACGGAGTTTTTAAAGTTCACTTATTTTTTTTTCCAAGAGATTAGTAGATTACTGTCTAGAAATAAACTTTGTACTTAGGTTTATAGTTATACGATCGTATGTCAATATAATACAAATAGAATATACATTTCTAAATTTGTAAGCTCTGAAGTTGTACATTAAGGAAAACTGCGTTGGGCCCGTACACATGTGATTATTTTCCGATGTGTTATATGCACTGCCTGGAACAAGTAAATAATAATGAATAATAATTAATGGCATAGGAAAACGATTAAATAAAAAATGAATCTAAAATATTATTATAAAGAAAATATACTTAAAATTGATGTCTTCAACAAATTCTAGCATGACCTTCGCAACTTTGATTCAAAAAAAACATGTCATATAATTACTTCGTTAAGTTCTTCCGGTGGGCGGTGGGTACTTATTCACTATTCACAAGTATAAAAGTATATAAAATAACAAAGAGTGCATTTCCACTTGTATAGTGTAAGAAAATCCTCCAAATACAAACAAAAAAATACCATAAGATATATTTAAAAAATGTCCAATAATACGTATGTACCTAACTATATTTGTAAATTGTGTATTGTGTATTTGTGTATATTTTACATAGTACACAATCATACCCAATGAGACTAGATCAAATTTTTCCTTATAAAATTATCGGTATTAAACTAAGTTATGATGTATGTATTAAAATATTATTATATTATAAAATATTACGTTCACATAATATTATTTATGAATTAACTATAGCAATACTGCCGGCAAACGCAGTTATTAGTTCCTGTTACTGTATAATTAATTGTACCTATCTATAATATTATTATCATAGATTATTGTAGGTACTTAGCATAATACTTAAATACCTTTTCTCAAATAGTTTAGTAGGTATAATAAAATGTATAAAAGAAAAATACTATATTGAAAGCTATTAATATGCGTGTTGTACGACTTGTACTCGCCAACAAATATCCGATTAACAATAATTATTATTGTGACAAAATAACTCGTGTATATAATATATACACTGCTAGAATTATATTATAATTCTAGTGATTATCTCACCTTTGAAAAAGGTCGCCTATAAATGTGGACAGAATAACACTACCTTTAGATGATAACATACTAAACGTTATATACGAACACCCAATTATTTAAATCGCTGATTTACCATTTACGAAATATTTTCTGTTGCCTTTCCCCTCCACGAAATATTTCTACAGGTGGCCTTGCCTGAAAAGGCTCTTCAGATTTTGTGGTTCTACTACAGTGTGTGTTTGTACTGTGATATCTACCGGTGAAACTGGTTAACATTCTGTTTTAAAATGCGACTTGCTGCCAACTAACGTATAATAATATAGATAGCATTCTGCTATATCATCAGCATTCATTATAATATAGTAGGTGCCTATTACAAATTTCTACGTCAAGGTCACTACTAATAATTATTGCAGCGTTTTACTTATATTTTTTAGGAACTCGTTGCAATCTCAGTATATACCTATATAAATATATATATATATAACTTTTAATACTAAAGCCTCATCAAACCTAAACTATTACCACGTGAAGACATTATGACGTGGTAGGCCTGGTAGGGGAACTTGTGTGTTATCCTTGTCAAGCCCAACCTCCTGCGATTCGTCGCTAGTTGAAAATAACAGTAATAATAATAATAATGTAGTTATATTATACGACGGCGCAGCGGCGACGGTCCGCGTGTATTGCATTAGTGTGTGCCCGTGGTTCAGCGGCACTAGGCTATTTTTTATTGGGATAATACTTGTTGTTTTTTTTAATCGTATTTATTTTTCATTTGACGCACTCTTATCGACACCAAACAACGGTTTTTTTTTATCCCATTTAGGTTGTAGAAGAAATTAATATTATGTATCATAACCTATGATCGTTACATCACCATTCACGGACAACCGTCGTAAGACCGCATTCATAAATTTCGCGCAGACGCTGTTGCTAGAGTCCTATACTCACTGTTATTATCTCACTGACTTCAGTTGAAACGTAAGTAGAACTTTAATTATTCACAAGTGTTATATTATTATGTATACAACTATAACACGTCTTTTCAATATTGAGTAAACTGTATATAAATATATAATATTATTTAAATCATACAAGTGTAATAATATATATAAATATTAAATTGATATTATATATATTCCATTTGAGTATGTTTTAATTTATGAAATATTACAGTTCTTTTAAAGTCTACTCATAACTGCATTTATTAAATATCAAATAAGGTTATTATACTTGATTATGTTTATTACTTTAAGGAAGTGGAAGAATAATTATAACATATAAATTGTAGGTATTATACTATTATCAACTAATTAACCGGTAAAACTAATACTATTTAAGATATTTATCCTCTAAATGCCATATCAAAAGAGAACCCCACTTGGGGTATACTAGAGTTTCGAGTTTTTTTAATATAGGTTTTCTACAACAAAGAACAAATTTCCAAAATGTAGTATTTTTGTTTACTAATTGTTGGTAACATCAATTTGTACATTCCTTTTCGAGCGTTTACAGTTAAAAGTGTCTTTAATCGATACTCAGATTAAATATTTATTGTATTTAGATTAAATATTTATACATTGAAGGCTGTCAGTCAGCTCGTATTATTAAGTATATTTTTGATTCTTTACAAACAGTAATACGGTAGTTTGTGTTAGTTTTTGAGGAAAACACTGTATTTATTCTATCAAACATAATATTTAGCAATTTAACATTATTTATTTATAGAAACAATTTTAAATGTAACGCATCAACATCTGAGTTCTAGTTATTAGTTATTACTATCATCAATATTTAAACATACAATTCTAAATCATCATATCAGTAACGAACAATGATGTATGATAACAATTTATTTTTTGATAAAAACGTGAAATTTACGATATGTGTAATTAACATGTCAATAATTAATATTAAAAGTTAACGATGCAACCATTCGAAGAAAATACATATTTTACCTACACCAATATTAGATTTATCTAAATAATTCATATACGTACTGAATTCAAACTAATCATATTAAATCTGTAAAAGAAATACAATTAATTGTTTTAGTACCTGATATTTGAAGCAAGTATAAATCAAGAACGTCGCTTATTCGGTGACGATATATTACTCTCTTATATTTCTTTTAGATATAAATTGTATGTATCTTTATCAATCCAAATTATTAGCATATGATAACTGATTAAAATTAAGAAAAAATCTTTGGAAAAAAATACTTAGGTACTCACGTTTATTTTATTATTATTTCAACAAATATTCAGTTAAAATGTATAACAATTTATTTATTTCATTATTTTTATAATGTTCAACGTCATTACATAAATTATATATTTTACAATAGTACTATTAGTTATCCATGCCAAGCCAATTACCTACTAATAATTAGTAATAATAATAAACCAGCAAGTTGTGTTAACCAAATCGATTTCTGTACATACTCATTGCATTGCTGTAGTAGGATTATATTATATTTATAAATCAATTTCAATTATCTTTCTGAAAGCTTTATATTTATTTACCTATACCAATTATTCGAAATTACATTGGTTATAACTTATAGCTAACAATTTTCTGTAGTTTGAACACTTCAATCAAAATCGTTACATAATGTAGGTACCAATCGTTTTAAAAATATAAATATTGACTTAATAACTAAATAATATTTGTTAGGTTTGTACAATGCACTATGTACTCAAGTAAAATACACAATCATATCTATTATTACATAGTATAACAAATAGGTAACGTGATTATGTTTAATAAAGCCAAAATTATTAATTTCAAAGTTGAATCTTTGATAAGCAAATCATATTTAAAAATAAAACATTCTTGATTATGTAACAATAAAGAGTAAAATAATAAAATATTTTTCTTCGTCTTAATCATAATAATTGTCTCAAGTACCTAATTCATTTTTAAACAAGAATACATTAGCAGATTGCACTTTTAATCGTCGTAAATCTTAAGCATAAAAAATAATAATACATTAAATAAAATGTAACGTAATGTAAGTATAATCACGTAATATTTGAATGTCAAAAACATACATTTTTATATCACTATGTGGTGGCGCAAGGACCGTATATAGTGGTAAATATTAATTTATCAACCATAAGTATCTTCTCACGATTCCCACATTTTAATAACATTTTTTAATTTTCATACCCATAAGGCCAAACGAATTATACTACATAGACGAAATCAAAAATGTGTGTTATTGTAACAAACTTTTCTCTTGTTCCTATTTTGGTGCAAAATATATATTTGAAATCAATGCACCGATCTAACTGATCTAAGTGAGTAAGTATGATACTGTGATGTACATACATCAGATTATCATATTTATCACATTATATTATTATCATATCATATTTCATACTAAGAGTTGATACTTTATTCGGTATAAGAACTAAGGTTAGGTATAATACTTACTGGTATTCTGTAAAGACTGGCTGGTGCTACAACTGCTCAATGAGATAGGTGCAGTTTTGGTTCTGGTGATACACTGGAGCAGTGGACAACCCAGTTCTTACTAAATGCCTAATTAAGAATTGAACTTCAATCTTTAAATTAGTTCGAGATAAATGGATGATAGTCAAATTTTGTTTAAATGCAAATAAAAATAAAAACGTTGAAATATATTATAGACATATTTTAACTCCAGTTAAAACAATTTTTTTGTTTCGTTTTCATTTCACTAAAAATAATAATAATTCTATAAAATTATGTTGCGTATCTTGTAGTTTAAAATATGCACACTTTTACTGTTTCAAATAATATTGTTTATGTGCATGATACGTAGTTAAAATAATTCTGATATTAAACTTTAACGATTGTCAACGATGGTTTCGGATAGTAAATTGGACCTAGTTGGTATTTTTGAGAGATTAAAATTATAAATGCCGGTACTCGTGAAAACAAAAAAATAATTGAAGAAAAAAGAGAATTTTTTGCAAAAAAGTTTTAGACAAAATCGTTTATTTGGTGTAACTGTATAATAACGAATTAAAGTAAATAAAGGTTTTATATTTATAACATAAAAAAAAGTTGACAGTAAATTCACATTCATTGTGTATAAGCGTTTAAAGTTTTAATTTTTAAGACTTTTATCAGATGACTATAATAACTATTTCTTTTTTAGTTGTAATTCAATAACTAATAACTGCAGATACTTGACATTTTAACACCTTATGCATAATATGATGACATTTTCAAAATAATTTCACTCTTTTTAAGCCATTTATAGTTACATTTAAAATTTTAAAATTTGTATTCTAAAAATGTCAATAATACATTTTAGTTAAAAACATTAATAATTTAATATAAAGTTAATTGTAAGTTGAAAATACCAATATTAATTTAAAAATATCAAAGATACATGAGAACTATTTTTTTTATAAGCATTTTAATTTCAAATGTTAAGGAAATTCATCATAACTATGAAAATTTGCAAATTATTTTGTGGTTGAAAATGTATTAGGTGTTTAATTTGTATAGCTAACGATTGAAAATTTAAAACAAGATTTTCATAAGTAGTTTAATAGTTTAAACTTTAACCCAGACATTTTAAAAAGATTATTAATACAGTTTTATTTTTTAGAGACATTTTAATTTAAAATTTAGACGAAATTATATATTTTAAAAGAACGGTTTTAGTTATTTTGCTGTAATTTAAAATATTATTCATGGGTGTTTGAAACTTTTAAATTGTATTATTATATTTTATACGCACAATGCCATTTTCAAATGCAATGTTTTCGACAAAAAATAATTCAAGTTAATACTGTATAAAATTAATAACTTTATAGCATTAATATCATAAAATATATTTAGTAATATAGGCTGACAGACTGCTTGAGCTCAGAATCGTTTTTCGTATACTATGAAGCAGTCCTTCTGCACAGTGGAGTGGTATCTATTTACCCACCTTTTTATGTGTTTAGTTTAAGACACGGTTATGAGGTAGGATACCAAACTATTTGTAGCCAGACACCTGCAGTATCATAGATGTATTGATAAAGTGAGAATAGAATATGTGTCTCAACATCGTCAATCGGGAGAATATACAAGGGTGAAGGGAGTAACAGGGACTGAGATACTATTTCAAAGATTCTATCTTGTCTGATACACTGAATGCACAGTATTAGTCTCGAAAAAAACACTCACCTTAATAATATGCTTGTCGTCTATCACTTTTTAAGTGTATAATTTATATTTAATTAATGACAATAATTAATATGACTTAAGTAGTACACGGCTGCTTATCACCTAGACCCACTCTTTGCGCTTTGGTCTGCATCGCGATATTATAATTTAGATACCCCCATTAATAATATTAAATGAAAATAATTGATTTACTTGTCCGAGCGCAGATGAAGTACGTCGGGCTGCTACTGGTGGCCGTCCTGGGCGCGCTGTCCACCACTGACAGCGCCAACATCCTCGGCGTGTTCCCCATCAACGGCCGCAGCCATTGGGTGGTGTACGAGAGCCTGATGAAGGCCCTGGCGGCGCGCGGTCACAACGTGACGGTGATCACATCGTTCCCTCAGAAAACGCCTCTGGCCAACTACACGGACATCGACGTGTCTGCGTCGTTTCCGTCCGCGGTGAACACGCTCAGCGTCGAAATGGTGCTCAAATACCTGACCAGCGTGTTCGCCAACCAATGGTTCATCGCTGACCATCAGATGAATATCTGTCGGCAGTCACAGAAGCTGCCAGAGGTGAAAGCGCTCCTCCAAAGCGGCATCAAGTTTGATGCGGTTAGTGCGATTTTATTATTTTTCCCTCTGTTTTCGTATTGTTATTACGATAATAAGGGGGGTATTATTTTATCATCAACCACTCATTATTTCAACAAGTATTAATGCTTTTGAAAATTTTCTCACATGGTTTCAAGTTGTTACAAAACATCGGTTTTTTTTTTTAAATATTTTTTATCCTTATAATTTGGGAAGAGTAGTTTATGAGTTCTAAGTATTTAAAGTTTTGAGTCTAAATTAAATATGCTTTTATGATCATTACTATATAAGTAATATAATACTGTCTAAATCACTAAATGAATATACTGAATTAATATGATAGTGTAAAGACTTATTAATTGTGTTAGACTATATTAATTTTGTAAATGTTGAAGTAGAAGAATTTGTTTGATTTAAAACAAATACTAGAATATTACTAAAACTATTGCATTATATAATATTTGTATTATAGAACTATTAATCAATTTATCACAACTAATAGACTTCTTGAAATTATTTTTATTGTAACCTAATTAATAAGAATAAATAATTTCCAAATATTAGTGTGATGTTTCAACTTCTAATTTGTAGAGACTATCTATATACAGATGACTAATTCAATACTCATACATTCAATATTTCAATATAACAATTTTGAAATAATACATATCTATGAAATAATAATAAAATGTAATTTTAAGAAATTAAAATATGTTCACGAGAAATGCATACTAGTCCTGAAAATAGGATAGTGTAAATAAAACAATTATTTTCAAATTCTTTTTGAAATACTTTGATACTTCTATGTTTAATTAAAATTTTTTTTTTTATTTGTTTCGATACTGCATACTTATTAAATTCAAAGCAACGATGTTGATTATTATTTTATTTTTGTTTGTAGGTTTTCACAGAAATATTTGGAGCTGATTGTGATGTTGGTTATGCTTACCATTTCAAGGCACCCCTATTATCCATCATGTCTAGCTCACACTTACCTTGGAGCTATGACCGTGTGGGTGGCCCAGACAACCCTTCGTACATACCAACGATCGTAACAAGAGCAGCTGGAAAGATGAACTTTAAGGAACGTATGATCAACACCTTGTACTACATATACTTTAAAATAGCATGGAAGTATTACAGTGAGTGGCCAGCAAATGAACTGTTGAAAGAGAACTTTGGACCGGACGTACCTCACATCAACGAAATAGTTTACAACACTTCCATGGTGTTTGTCAACGGCCACTTTTCTTTGGACGGACCACGTCCTTTAGTTCCCAACATGGTGGAAATCGGTGGAATACATGTTAAATCACCCAAGCCCATACCCAAGGTAAATACACATCACTCAACTAAATTTAAACAAATATATATTTTGTTTTTATTTTAAAACTACGAATTTAATAATTTATAAAAAAATCCGAACAGGATATAGGTACCCATACCTACAAACTGCAAATAAGAGGAGTTAGGCGTTATTCGTCTAACTCTACTCACCACGGCGCATGATGGAGTGATTTAATAAAAGAAAAAAATGTACTTAAAACAATAATAAAACTATGATAAATAATAAATATTAAACCTTAATTACATATCATCAATATTTTTAAACTGTTGGGAACTACTGAGATAATTATGGCCTCTATAAAATACTATACTAAGATCGATTTACAATTGATAGGTACTCCGTCACTTAAATATTTTTGATAAGCTCTTGTACCATAAAACTATAAAAGGACTTCACTATTCAGTGTAAAACCAGTATATCCCACGCTCAACTCATTCTTTTAAAACCTCTAAATAGTAACTTGAACGAATAATAATTTATCCACCAGTTCAAATACTATTTAAATTAAATTAAAATAGATTTGAATACTTCATACATTAAATTTAAATAGGTAGTATTTGTACTACATATCTGTAGTCTATATGGCTGTATTGGATAGCTCAAAATAAATATGATCACATTTATTAATACACGGTATAAACTGGAGTATAAACAGTCGGTGGAAATAAAATAAAATAGCTAGTTATTATCTATTCTTGAATTAGGTACATTTGCAATATTTATTTTTATTTATAACAATGATTAAGTCCAATAAAGAATACAATGTTAAATGCCTACAATATAGTTTCTAATATAGACGTATAAATGTGTAAAAGAACAATTCTGATAATTCAAATATTTCTGTATTGCGTAATTTCAATAATTCGAGATAAATAAGCTTAATTTTTTTTTTTAAATTAGTAATAAACTAATAATATATTAAATTACTTTATGTGGTTTTGAAACAAGGTATACTCTAATTTCAAAACTAGACAGTGAACAAATCACATTCTCATAAACAATCCAGTCTATACAATAAGCCAATAACATTAAATCATGGTGATTCATGAAGAAAAAAAGAATAGTGTAAATTAATAACTCAGCATAATGATCCAGGCAGCCGATGTTAAAAATAAAAATATAATAAACAGCTCTACTTACTTCTAAACTTGAGTGGTGTAAATGAAAAACTAAAAAATTCTTAAAACTAATACTCAATAGTAATTTCATAAGAAAAACAAAACCATAGCTTACTACCACAAGCAAGAGTTCAAATAGTCTAATCTCTAATACCTAACTCATAATATTACTCAAGTCCATTATAATTTATAATGAAAATTAACATTATTATACAACAGAAATGTCGTATAGTCGTTTATGATGTAAATAGATACTAAATACTTGTCATTTTTGAATTGTTTTTCAAACAATTAAACTAATTAGTAATTGATTACATGTGCAACTCACATATTATACTCATACCTACTATGCGTAAAAGCAACTATAAAATCATGTACTTACACGTCATGTTACAGTAATAATCATGCATTGCCTAACAGCTATCCAGTTATTTACATACATTTACTGGATCTTATAAACAATTTTAAATCTTTAGTAATTTCTAATTTAAAGTATTGTTGTAAATAGGACATATTGAAGTTTATCGAAGACTCGCCGAATGGAGTTATGTTTTTCACGTTTGGATCTCTTATTCGTATATCTACACTACCACCAAATGTATTGCAAATGTTTAAGGAAGTATTCGCAAAATTACCCATCAGAGTTTTGTGGAAATATGAAGAAGAAATGCCAGACAAACCTGATAATGTATACATAAGCAAATGGATGCCTCAGAGAGATATTTTGAGTATGTATTAAGACAATACATTAATTATGTATATAATACTGGTGAAGGTATATCTTTGAGATATGATGTATTTAAATTTTAAATTTAATTTCAGATGTGAAATTGTCTCTCTAAATCCACCTTTTATATCTGTACTGCAGAGTGATTCACCAACCATGCCCACTCCCATTTCATCCTATAACAATGACAATTCTGATATTTGGAATAATTATTTAGTACCTAGACTATATTTTCCAATACTTAGTTTTTAATAAAATGTAGGTAGTTTCCTGCGTAAGTAAAAATTCTAAAACTACCCTTTTTACGGTTTTTTTTTTTAATTAGAACAGTTTATTTAGTTTTGTGATAGGTAATACATTTTAATAATAGTTTTACATCAAAAATAAAATAGATTTAAAATTTAGTTTTGTATTTATTATACTTGAACAATTTTTACAAATTATAATTAGTATTAATTTCTATAATTTTCAAACCATATTAGCCCACATATCTTTAAACTTAGTATTATTGGAAATGATCCTTAGTACCTACATCAGCTGTTCAAAAGGAAGCATGGGTTAAACATTCCTATAGTTAGGAAAACATGTCAAATAAAAAAAAACAATTTTGACTGATTGGAACTAGTGTCCCATAAATCAATAATCATAGCACACTAATTCTTTGTAAAGAAATAGTATACAAATTCAAATTTTATAGGAGAGTAATGAAATTCACTTATAAAAACATGAGAGTGAGCGTGCCTACTGCCATGTGAATTACTTTGTAGGTAGATTAATACATTGTAAATTATAGTTATGTATTAATATATCTGTATGCATATATATTAATATAACTCGTACCTATAACGTTTATTTTGAACACAATTAAATATAGTTTTTAATTTCAGATCATCCAAAAGTCCGTCTGTTCATGACTCACGGTGGACTATTAGGAACAATAGAAGCTGTACATTCGAGCGTACCTGTCATAGGCATTCCGTTTTTCTTTGATCAACCTAGAAATATATTAAAACTGGTAGAACAGGGTTCAGGTATACTATTGGACTATGAAACGTTGACGAAGGATATTCTATACAACGCTATTACAACAATAGTTAACAATAGCAGGTGAGATTGATAATACAACAATTATTGTTATTACTTTACTATATTTCCATAAAATAATTATTATGTAATTATTATCCACTTTCATTTATTTTAAAATGGGAAACATCAATATATATATTTATATCAATAGCGTATGTATATCATTCAGTTACTATAAATTGAAATCATCGTTGACATGAACTTTTTACAACTTTTTAAAATCATTTGTTTGATCGTAATTTAAAAATCATACAATGACAATTATTGATATAATCATGCTGAATTAATTTTATATATATAAGCAAATACTATAATTAATCCAATATAATATAAAAGTTCACATTTTATTTCAGTTACGCAATAAATGCGAGCAAACTAGCAAAACGGTTCAAAGACAGACCATTGAACGCAACGGAAACTGCCGTCTACTGGACAGAGTACGTAATAAGACACAAAGGGGCGAAACACTTGAGAACAGCGGCCGTTGGAATGCCTTGGTGGAAATACTTCTTAGTTGATGTCATCGGTTTTATCTTGCTAGTCATTTTTGGTGTATTGTATCTAATTTACTTTGTGCTCAAGACTATCTACAAGAAATTATGCAAAAAGACCGTACCTAAAAAGAAGGAAAAGAAAAACTAAAACAATAAATTCTTATAATACCTGAATTACTATAATATACAAATGGTACAAAACAGTTTAGCCCCATTCATTCTTGTGATATGTTTTTTCTTATCATCGGTGTGAGTTGAAATAGTTTCTATCAAAATTATATAGGTAGGTAGATACTAAGAGTCTGAACACATAGGTAGGTACTCATATTAAGGATACATGAATATTAGATCTATTCAATTGAATGCTATTTATTAATTTTAACCATATAAGTCCATAACTATGTGTTGCCTTTTGAATAATTTTTATGTATAGCGATAAATCACTTTACTATAGTAATAGTACCTACTGTGAGCACTGAGCAAGTTAATATGCTTAGCAATCAGAATGTTTTAATATAGTACACAATTTTTAAAATTATCTATAAAATACTACTTACCAGTGTGGTTGATGGTTTTAAATATAAAGAAAAACTATTTACTACTATGTGTTATGCATACATGTATTTAATTTTTAAGCATTCTTTATATGTGATATAATAACAATTTCTAAATAAAAATATTTTTAATGTATACAATTTAATAAAACCTTTCAAAACCATTTCAATATAACTTTTAATTAGGAGTAAACACAAATTCTGAAGTTAGTATTAATTTAAAATTTAATTACTGTGAGTAGAGAAACCTATGTATTCATAAACCTTTATATTCATTAGATAGCTCAATATAATTAATATCTAACTAGAACCACGATAAACTAGACCTCAGTCCTAGCGCTCTGGCCTGATAATTGACCAGCTATTTATTATATTTGTTATAATCAGCACTTAACACTACAAAAAAAAATTAATATTAATAGAAGGACATATAAACATGACCATCCTGATATTATGCTAGGTATTTCTAAAACCCTGAGTTCAATATTAAGAATTTAGACATGTGTCAATAGTGATATTCTTGTAAGTTCACTGTTCAGAGACAAATATTTTTATCAGTATTATTTGTTCGGTAAATTCCATCATGCATATTAAATATGTTAAATTTGATGATTTCCAAATCGGTATGTCTTCGTTTTCCCAAAAAGTAAAATAATTTATTAAATCAAGTGAATAAAATAAAAATATGTGTCAAATTAAACACTTTTGTCGTGCTGCAGTACTTTTACGATTTAAGTTCACCAATAATTGAATTATTATTATATTTTTTTTCATTTATTTATTTTATCGCCATTTGCAATAATTTTCACTTTGATTTTTGCTTTCTAATAATAAATTACATGATGTTTTATAAACATTTAGTTTCACATTTCAATATAAACTGCAATATATTATTTTGAACGTTCACTGCATTTTAATTGTGATTAATTTAAATTCAACGTTAAATCATTGTGTACAAAAAAATGATTTTGAGGGGAGGCAGACCTTCAATCTATACTTCTATGGATATTTTAATATTTTATTTCATATATATATATTGTTATAGGCAATTTATTTTACTATTGTTATTACGGCTGGTTTAGCCGTTTAGGTTGAATTTATTCATGCTATAAATAAATTGCATATTTTATGTATGTATATTTTATAGTAATCTTTATTTTATATAATATGACTATCTGTTATTAACATAATATTATAAGTCAATACCAACATACCGTAAAATGGTATGTGTAGAGCCATGGTATAAATAGCTAAAATTAATCTAAATATTTTTTTAATGTCTTTGTGTCTAGTAAATAATAATTTATGTAGGAAAAATTTCAAGACCCTGGAAATTATTTTTTTTTTAATTACAACATAATACCCAATCTTCTCAAAATTTGAATTTGATGGTTGACATGTTTAATTGTGGATATGGATTTTTGAATATTCTGAATAATGTAATAGTAACTTATAAGGAACTTGGTGTAGAATTCCCTTACCTTATTCATTACAATTTAAATTTCAATACACTTTTAACTATGATAAATAATTTGCACATTTTCGAAATGTAGACAAATTTTGTCAATCAAAAACTAGATTTAATTATGAATATCAAACTATATTAAATGAAATTGATTGCGTGGGATGATTTGTATTTAACATTGGCCCCTTGCTTTAAATTTCTGCAGTGTACAGATGGCCTTGATTATGATTTTAAAGAATAAATATTTATTATTATCAACACCTTGATAACACTTGGAAATGTTGAAGTGAGTACCTATGTGTTCTTAATTATTTTTTATAATCGTGATAGTCATGGATATAGGGTATATTTCCCCTCACCATAAAGTATCACACAGATTTAATTTTCTACTGTATACCACCATAAAAGTTGAAGATTGAAGCCTTTCTACTGCTATCAACTATAAAGGTAACTTGAGACACAAATTTGACTATTACCTAATATTTGTGAACATATATAGTACACATTCTTGCAGCATTAGGTTGGTATCTTTATACGTCCGACAGCTATATTAAAAAGGTATATCTACAGAAACCGTGTTAAGGCTGGGTGTTGTTCATTCATCTTACTTAGTTCATCCCGTGAAATATGTTTTGTTAATTTTTTTTGATTTTATTTCGATATAATAAATCATAAATCATTTTTTTTTTAAATTATATTTACAGCTTCCAGTAAAAACTATTACAATTCGACAGTTAAAATATTGAATTTACACAATTAAAATATAAACACTAAACGTGGTAGTTAAAGTAATTAAGCATAATGGTATAATAATAAAAATGATAATAAACACAGATAAGAAAGAGAAACGTAATTAATGTATAGAATAATAAAAATAATTAGGAGTTAATGTCTTGATTATATTTTGTTTAATAATATGGCAGATAGAAATAAGTTAATAATAAAGGTTAAGTCGGCGAGGAATTTTGAAAGAGCTAAATTAAGATTTGAATTTTGTGGATTAATGTGCTGTTTAGAAGTGAAATCATAAATCATAAAGCTAAAGAAAATTCATCAAAATAGTTTTTTTATTTCAAATTAATTCATAAATACATAATTACGAGTGAAGATGATGTCTTTTTATTGTTTTTTACATTGATTTTTAAATATTATTAAAACTATTTATTATTTAGAACTATAAATTAAAAAATATGTGATGTATTAATGATTTATGAATATAGAAAGGATATCGAATACCAATATAGACTTTATGTAATTATAATTACATAGTATACAAGTACCTAAACACATTTTCAGATGAACTGCCAAAAAATATTTAATGTTCTCTGGAAAAATCTAAAAATAAGCATAATTTATCAACCATTCATTGTACCGTTCAGATTTAAAATATTGAAATTCACATTTAAAATTACGGATGATATCTAAATTACACAGAAAAATTGATTAAAAACCTGGGACCTTTAATTGAAGCCTGAAGGTTAACAAATATCGATAAACAATAAAAGGTAGACAATACGAAAAACGATTCTGAGACGTTATGTCATCCTAGTATACTTGTATAAACCATGAAATTTAACAATAAATAATACAAATTGAAAAATCTTATGGCTATAATAAATTACGTATCAGAGTTGATTTTTGATGTATTGTCCACTTTGTTTCAAAATGTTTTTTATAAAATCTTATTATAGATATTAATACTCGATAAAAAGTATTCTATGTTACACACATGTATAAATATTCTATTCAAAAACTATAATCATGAGTTTTTTTTAATAGGTACCTACTATAAATAAACCGAGCTCTAGGTATATACAGAATCGTTTTTTTTTAAACTTATAATAACCTATAATAACCTAATAATGATGCACCACTATAATATAGTTAAATACTTAAGTGCATAACGCCAGATGAATATAAGTTTTTGTTTTTTATAAATCATATATTATTTATACCATTAATATCAAATATGTATTTATAATTAATGATTATAGGTACTCATAATAAATTTATCTCAAAATTAGTAGCTGACGTAGCTCTTATAGATGTCTTTTCGATTGCCTATTACAAGACTATTGACTTTAGATTTTACAAAAATTTAATTGAGTTACCGAACCCAAAACTTAATAAAATCTAAAGTGGATCATCATATAATGGCAGGAAACAAATTTTAAGAATTGGTTTGATTTAATGTCAATAATATCCGGTAAAAAGAAATCAAAACACATAAAACCTTATTATAATAAAATAATGAATAAATATATGGCAAAAGTAATGACAATTAATGAAGTAACTACGTTCATATTGTTCTCTGTCTGAATGTCTGCAGAAATAATCTAATTGTCCTAATTTTAAATTTTTAGTGAAACAATTTTAGGGACATAAATATTTTCGTACCGTTTTTGGGTAAACTAAGCTACACTTATAATCTTTTTACGAGTGCAGTGATTTATATAAAGAATATTTAAGACACGCATTCATGTAGCACAAACAATTTATTGTAGGTGGGTAGGTAGGTACTTAACTTTTTCAAATTAGTTTCCATATTGTAATTAAATGTTTAAAAAAAATGTACAATGAAAATAATTGTAGACCGTTATTGCCGTACCAGAAAATACTTTTATTATTCTACCAGATACATTTTTCACTGATACTTTGTTTCCGTTTGTAGGTGCTTACTACCTACCTGCTTTTGTTATACATTTACAGTAAATTTAATGCGTTTGACTTTTCAATATAAAGAGTTACACTAGTTACTGCAGTCGTTATTTAAGAGGCGCAGAATCAAAATTTAATAGAGACCCGGTTATAAGCTTTTTAGTAACCAAATAAATATTTTTTGTGTATTTTCAGTTTATTTCATAGATAGGTAATAATAATGTAGAATATATTTTTCACAACATTATAGTAACATTATTAAATAAATATTCTTTCCGAGGATTCAATAACTATATTCTATAACATGGGCTTTGGCATGGAAACTATACGTTTGTTTATCACAAATGTTACCAAGTTTAAAATTAGTGATCTGCTGAACTTGTCAGCTGTTATACGCAGGGGTTTAAGTGTGAGGACGTAGGTTGACTTAGTCCCCCTACCTCTAATGGTAGTTAAAAAACGTCTTCTTTAACAAATTATTCGTAAGATACGTCGGAACGCTTCAATTATATCTAAATATTAGCCAATATAATTCAGAATTTCGTTATCAATTGTTACTTTACTTTTATCAAATGTTTTTAATAAAAATACGATGTAGAAAATATTAAGTGATCACACTCTAGGAAAAAACTGACGCTTATTTTCAACACAGTCTTTTAGTTGGAATAAATTCCACCGGGAGCGCCATAGTATTTGAAGTCTTACTGTTTGTTTCTCTGCATACTCGCCACACCATACATCGAATTTGAATTTTTTCCTGTACAATTTTAAGTACTAAAAACACTACATTTGTATGATATTTATAATAAATATTTTTTATCTGGGTGATTTCTTTAGTTTTCTTTAAAGACAACTATTACTCACAACTTAATATTATGAGAAAAAATATTCTCTTTCAAAATATTACATTTGTATAAAACATTAGTTATTCTTAAAAATGTAGTAGGTATTATTTGTGATTTAAATTGTCCATGATATAAATTACAAATTTGAATGTAATTCATGTTTAAAAGTGGTATGAGTATGTTACACAATCACTGTTATACATTACATATACTTTATGCATTAGACGTTATACACAAAATGATATATGGAACGCCCGAACGCCTTTAAACTATATGGAGACATTAGTCCCTCCTTGGATTTTTTCCCACTTTAAGCCCTGGTTATGCATCTCAATTTAGAGTAATATTAAGTATTTTTGCATCGTGAGGAAGTAAAAGGAACGTTTAAAATTGAGTTATCAACATTTAATTTTAATATTTTTGGTTGTGGTTGATGCACTTTTCCTATATGTAGTCTATAAATTCAATTATACTACCATTATCATTTATTTAATGTTCTGATGGATTTCGAAACAGATATGTAAAATTGTCAATTAATTTTATATTAATTCAATTTACTAGTCATCAATTATTATCAATAAAATAAACAATTAATATGTATATTGCATAACAAAAAACAAAGGCATAACATTCAAGACCAAAGTCTCGGCCACTCACGTCGTAGTTACGGCGTCCCACTTGTCAACCGGTACACATAAATTGGTAGTCGGTGAGTACCTACTGAACTAATAAATTATTTTATTCTCTGGCAATGATGATATTGCTTATTATGTGGTAGCAAAAGTGAACACCTAAATACATAAATACATTTTATGAAAATTGGATTTATTTCGATATAGGTAGCTCGTATCGTTTTATTATACTAATAATACAAACTTTTACCTAAAAATATAATTATGACACCATAAAAATAATAATGATGACTATTTTGTAGTTAGGAGTTTAAAAAATGAGTAGTCTCGGGCCTTCCCTATGATCACTACGTAGTGTAGTACTCGTGTATACATAAAAAGTGAATTTCATACATACAGGTGGATATATGGTTCTTATTTGTAACAATTTAGTGTACACTAAAATCGTCTGTTGTCATGTTGAAAAGCTATGCTGTACTTTTTCATTACGTAGTACTATTTCGATGTTATTTAAACAGGTGCATAATCGTTAATCTACAAGTTGTATATAGTACTCAAAATATACTCTAGAGTTGTACAAATTATTATGATATGAGTTTGATAAGCTGTCAAACTATCGATCTATAGAGTAGCAATATTAACAATGGGTAATGGTACCTATATTGGTATTCCTAAAATTATCCTTTGTGTTATCCTTGTAATATTATTACTCACATATATTTTGTTATTCCTGGCTGATGACGTCTTTATAAGATAATATATAATATATATTATACTACACTTAACAGGAATATATTCTTAGAATTAATTAATAACTTTTACACTGAGAACTAAAAAAATATAAAATTGGTTTGAATTCCATACCTTAAATTTCTATTACTTATAGTTTACACCCATACTGTTAGTTTTTATACAAATTTAAATTAATAATAATACATTTTTCTCCAAACAGTGGATATATGCAATTAGTGTTTACACGAATGAATTATATGCATGGCTTATAATACAGTAGGTATAATATACTAAACCGGGCTGTTTTTTGGAATGCATACTAGTTGCTTCCTAAAATATACGAATTGCCTTCCACATTATCTTAAATGAAAAGGTTAATACACACTAGTTGTCTCCTATAATCAAGTAGTTCATAATTATATGCCTCCTAAGAATTTTCCCCTTAGTTGCCTCCCGTATAGAATTAAGTAATGGACAATGGTAAATACATTTCACTATGATACCCTATGTAAATACACACTTGTGTTATATAATTATAAAAATTAAGTTTATACCGTCACATAATTATTTACGCTGAATAAATTAATGTAATAGGTATACAATTATTATAAATTATAGATATTTTTCTTTTATTATAATTTTATTTTAAATCTAGGAAGAACTTTTTTTTAATACACTTATAGATATTTAGAATTATCAAAAAAATATCAGTCTTAGGGTCTTTAGGTATGCATACCTATATTATATAGTTGATACAAAATATAGTCATACAATTATATCAAAAAGAAAAATATAATAATTAATCAATAAAAAGACATTTGGTAATTTAATATACATCTACAATATCTCGTAAATGTTATATTATACAATTAATACGTTATGGATCAACCATCATAATTAATATGTGGTTCATATATTTCACTAAAATATAACACAAGTATAAACAATATTATATTGTGTTATAAGTTATAATTTATAATTAAAAATTGTTTTATTTTGAGTCATCAGGTAATTAAATATATATTGTACCGTTAAAAACATCAATCTTAGGTATATACGATATGTATACACAAATTACACAACTATAAAAATAATAATAAGTCAATACAAAACAGATGGCAGTACCTATAATTAGTCAATAAAAAAATATCTGGTAATATAATTAGTTAATAAAAAAAATATTCGTTATAACATTGCATAGACTTATATTTTTTAGCCAAATGGTTTAGAACTACTTAATACTTATGAATTTATTACCTGCCCATTGGAAAGGCATCTATAGTAATTAGTACTTACTAGACTCTTTTCAGGGACGGATCCGGGGGGCTAGGAACCCAGGCCCCCCCAGATATATTATTTCCCAAATTTTATTTTGATAATTCTACAGGTATTACTATATACTATATTACTATACTTCAAATTACATGTATGTCTGATAATATAATATATTATTATACTATCATTCTGGGGTGCAAGAATTAAGATAGTACTATCTTAGTTCATGAAGGATAGTGATTCCAATATTGTAATTTTACATTAACAACAAATTGTGGGCCCCTCCCTCCTCCAGATCTTTGCTCTGGATCCATGCCTGACTCTTTTCGTATACGTTAAAATTTAGGGTATGTTGAGTGGCAACTCTTGTATAGTCGGGAGGAAATTCGTGTAAAAATGATTGACCTTTTTGACTTCAGGGGGCAACTAGTACACTTCGTAAGATTAGCAAGGCGCATGGGCAAAAATAATTGTGATGCCTAACATATATTTGTATACTTACAAGTGTTATTTTTAAATACACACTTTTTTACTGGTCGTTGATTCAGAAGTATTGTTCATCTTTCAGTAGCAGAAAAAAAAGTAGTGTAATCTTTGAATTACACCAAAAAGGTCATAGCAGCTGGTATGGACGATATAATATCTCCTATTCTACTGACTTCAAGACGCATCTACTATAGATGCCCTATCGCTCATTTGTGCCAAAAAAAATGTATTCGTTTTAACAAAAAAAAAAAATTAAGGATTGTCTGAAAATATTGCCATATTACTCCTCTTTTCTATAACCCCAGCCTCCAGGTTTTATCCTACCATATTTGCCCCATTATCATAATATCCTTAACTGTGACAGTTTTTACTTATTACATATATATTAATTATATCATGACTTAATTTATAAGTAATAACTTCGTTTTACTATGAACCTTAACATTTTAAATGTTATGAAATAATATTTTTTTCAAAATCGATTTACCAATGTATTTTTTTTTTTTCGAACTCGAGACCCTCAAAAGAAGTAAAAATTGTGAGGCCAAGAGCCTGAGGCCTACCCACCCCTCCATTAGGGTGGCCCAGATAGTATAAACATAACACACTTTTATTTCAGCGTAAACTGTACAAGCACCTACTTATTAACTTATTATTATTTGTTATTTATATATAACTATTACAATATAATTAACGGGGCCTTATCAGCCGAGTGCCGATTACGCATATTATGTATGCGTTAACAGCTAAACCGGCATAACGTGACTGTATAAATACACGACGACACGACGCCGTCCTAGAACGGTAATATTCTATACAATACATACAATGCTAGGGCGTCGGTACAGTATTATCCAATAAAAAATAATACATGCGCTAAAATACAAACAATGTCTAACGAGAGAAAATACGTGGGTATACCTACGTAACAAGTAACAACTATAACAACACTCGTCAGTTGTCACACTACTCCCCCGCCGGTTTATCGACTGCCATCGTGTAATGCCAACTAGGTAAACCGTATGCGTATGGACTATATTATTACCTATTATACTTACACTATTGGCTATCGGGACTGTACCGATTTTGAATAATATAATATTAATAGTTTTCTATGATTATTGATTATAGCTAATGGATATATATTATATATTTGACCAGTGGGAACCAAATTCAGACCGAAGGAAACATTTTTTTTTTTTTTTTGGTTTATTAGATACGGTCAAATTATTCATCGATTTTGAAGTCCCGTATAATAATGTACACACAAGAATCTCTATTTAGGACATTTAATTTTATATTCAGTGCCGTAAATTGGGTTAACTGTTAGGGTAGCAAATATTTTTAGAAAGAACTGTTTCGATCTTTATGAAAAATTGAACATTTTATATATTTTTAACTACAAACTTATTGGTACATTTCAGTGAAAGTCAAAATATTTTGAAAATTTTTTCATGTATGGATGATTTGATCAAATAAATATTTGGCTATACTTATGAGGAACCTTCTTCATCAAGTTTTTTGACTGAACAAAAAAAAATGTTATCTGCAATAAGTTTCGAAAAAACCAATAAAAATTTCTTTTGCCAATAAATTGCTCAAAAAGAGTCAAAATATTTTCAAAATTGGACGGTATGATGGAAAAAAATATTGTTGTTAACATTCGGTAAAATCATGTATGCACTGTATTTTATGGTCAAAAACTGATTTTGCATGAAAATTTCCAAATTTATAAATTATTCGTTTTGTTTATACCGACGCTTTTTTAAGCTTCTTTTGCAATGCTAACACCTCTGCCCTCTTGATGCACCAACTAGACTCTTAGTACTTAGTAGTCACCAGAGTCATTTTCTCACCAGAAAAAATTCTGAAATTGAAAATCGAAGCATTATTTCTATTACTTATCGACTATCGTATACAAAGAACATGTTTGAAAACTGTTGATTGGGCATAGTTGTTTGGGGGTGCAAATCGAAACCCAGTTTACACCACTTATATTAATAAAATGCAAAAGCATACAATATTTTATATTACCATGCACCTACCGAACAAAATTAATAATTTAACGAATAAAAAAATGTGAAGTAAGTACATATTATTGATAAACAAAAAAAAGATTAATAAAGTAGATATCTTACAATAAAAGTAGATAATAAGTATAATAATATGATGATTCACACAATACGTATGCATTACTGCAGTAGATAGGTATGTATAGTGATTACATTTTGTTATTTAGCTATTTATAAAAAATGTATAATTTTTTTGTTTTTTTTATGCACAACATGTCCCATTCTGTGGCTGCCGGGGTAGTTATATCCGTATCGTCAAAAAATGAGTGGTGGCCGAAATGTCCGTACACCTGTATAGAACGCTGCGGGCATGGCCACATGGGAACTGATGACGAACGACTTATCAGCGGCGTGCCAACAATAAACAATACGTAATCGCACGCGCTAGAATACGTACCGCGAAAACGGTAATCGCCGCCGCCGCCGCCGCGCAGTGTTGAGTGTTTCACGTACACGCTCGGAAGTTGGGACGCGGGCGCGACGTGTGCGGATTATTATAATAATATTATTTTTTATAGTACGATATAGAGAGCCCGAGAGGTACATATTCAAATATAATAACGTCTGCCCGCTTCAAATAAGTTATTGTCGAGTTGTAATAATCTGCGCGAGGTAATAGAAATAAATTATTAATTATTGTTACGAACAAAAATAATACATTTTAAAGTGTCGTCGGTTTCTTGTGTTTATCTTTATTCCTATAGCAGTTGGTCTCCCAACATTGTCGCGGACCGTCGACGTACGTACGTAGCGTACGGGAGGCGGTACTCGCAGTTCGGCTATTGACGATAACACATTATTATCGTTTTTATTTGCGTTGTCACAGGAGATGGCCTTTAATTATCATCAGCAATGAGTATTAGGCACGCCGATAACGTTCTACCCGTACTGCAGCTGCAGTGATGAGTGTCCGGCGTTTCGACGTGACTCACCGAAAAACGCAGCACGTCCTCTCCATCATGTGGTCGTCTTTGGCGAAAATCGTCTGGAAATACAGGTAGGTGGGGTATTGAGTTTTTGTAAACAGGTACAAACTTTAGTATTACCTAGTTATTTAAAAGCGAACACGTTCTTATTTCAATATTAGACATAATACAATTATTATACTAGGACACGTTTTTAGCAGTTTACCTATACGACGGTACTATATTACCATTCTATGTCGTTACCGAACAGACGTGTTTACTATTTAATAGGTATAAATGTATATTGTTCCGTAATAGCACTACCTTTAATCAGTTTAATATATTATATACATTTTTACTAATATTACAAAAAGCATGCTTTCTTTTGAGCATTAGTAATAGATACCTGTATTGTTTTTTTTGGCTTATTAATCTTCACTCTTCAGTCTGCAGTCTCAGATACAAAATTATGTACTTATTTATAAATTAATACAATTTTTAATTCAAATTTCAATACAAATTTAAAAAAATTATTATTTATCGATTTTGGTTTAGGCAGTAGATTCAACAAAAAACCAGTATGAATGGGTTAATGACCATTTCAAATTAATATTATGTAACATTATTTAAGCTGTAATAATGCCATATTATGCAATGTATTTATTGAAAGTATTAATTTTAGTTACCTACTTATTCTAATATAATTCTATAATACATATTATTCTGTCATTTCTAAATACTTGTATAATTTTATCTTATCAATTATTCACATTTTCAAGTACAATCATTGATTATAAATTTATATATTTATAATAAATGGAATAATGTATATTTAATATTTATAATATTTTATAATCATTATATGATAACTGATAAATACCTTAAACCTATAGGCCGTAAACTTTATCAATAATATTAGATCCTTTGTAAATTTTTAATATTATAGTATTGAATTATTTTTAAATTGTTATATTGCAGTAAAATAGAATGAAAATAGCAATTCAACATTTTTACAAAGCTAGACAACCACTAGGTTGCTCAAAAGTTAAAGTTAATTTATAAGTTTTTGAAAACTTGACTAGTCATAAAAAAATAGAATAGTTAAAGCTATACAGCTGTATATTAATGTGTGCAGCCTTTTATGGGATACCCACAAAATGTCCAAGAAATAATACACCATTGCATATGTCATAATAATTAATATATTTTAGGCAAACTACCACGCACTACGCATCATTACTCATATCGATTTTGCACTGATATAAGTATATTACTATATTAGTTTGTATATAATATTGCTATATAATTAGTAGGTACCTAATAAGAATAACATATTAAGTATAAATTATAAGATTGAGTATTGTATATACTAATTAATAGGTATTAGCTTTCTTATAATTATGATTGCATTTAATTCTGAGAAGTTATCGGGCAGAGCGATATTTTTTGATGACGATCGTACCAATATACATTTTTCCTATGATAGTGATCATTGAAAATACAATTATGAAAATTAATAATTATATTTAGGAACTTAAAATATTTATATTTTGCCCTAAATTACGACATATTTTAAGATATCTTTTATTATTACTTGATATAATTTTATATTCACCAGATTAGTAGAATGAAGGACCTTATTTTGATGTCTACACTATAAAATTACTCCCTCGGTTACACCTGTAGTGATCGAAGAGTATATGTATGTAATATATTATAAAAATGAATTATTGTTTGTCCTCTATAGCAGCGATGGCAAACCTTTTGAACACTGCATGCCCAAAATTAGTAATAACATTTTTTTTTTTTTAGAGCGTGCCATGAAAAAAATACTAAAAATATTATATTTGATTATATTATAATTTGATTGTATAATTAATGTATTAGTATAAAAAGGTTAGTTTAGGTTATTATAGGTACTATAATATTATATAATATATATTATATAATAGTAAAAATTTTCGAGTGCCCACAAAATCTTTTCCACCTCGGGCACGCGTGCCATAGATTTGCCATCCCTGCTCTATAGGCTCAAAAAACTATTGGACTGTTTTCATAAAAAGTTAAATCGATAGAATCCTTGAAAATCTAGTATAAGGTTTGTACCTTCGCTTTTAACCCTAGCTTTTTCGCTATAGAGTGGCTCACATTAGGCCCGTGTGCAGGATTTCTTCATGGAGGGGTTAAGAAACATTCCCCCTTTGAGCACGGATGAGGCTCAAACATGAATAATGAATTTTGTTTCGGTTTACGAAAATCGAATATTTTTTGGTTTATACATAGAGTTGCCATTCGTTACAGGTAATAACACAGTCATTGTGATTAGATATAATTTTGCTACTTAGACTGACATGTCAAATTGAATACAGTCGTTGCAAGTTTAATTGGCAAGGCGGTGGAGGCGCCACAACGGAAAACCAGAGGTTCTCCGTCTTTGGATGTTATTACTTATTAGTTATTACCGAATAACAAATGGTGGCGTAAATGAGTAAATATTCATCTATGTTAGTATATTCCATAGCTTCCATACCTCATTCATCTATTAATATTGTCATTGTCAGCCGAGGTCGTTTATTTTATACATTTATGATAAACAACTTGGTGAGGCGTTCCGCGTGGCCGAAAGTCGAAACACGCCGGGACTAGTTTGGGCTACACCTACTGAAAAGCAACGCCGCCGCCGCCGTGCCAATCTCTCTGGCAACAGTTGTAACTCCCATTATTTATTAGAGGCGAAGTCACTTCGCCGAAGGCCGAAGGGTATAATATAGTAAAAGTATGTATACCAAAAAATATCCAACAGATTTTGACAAAAAACAATTGATAACGTTTCAATTGATGCAACACAGAAACAATAAATAGGTAGGTAGATCGTTTATAATAAATAGTCGGCTAATACAAATTTAATTTGTCGGGTTATATCTAAATGACACACATTAGAATACACTGTTTTTAATCAATTGGCACCAAATATTGAATACATATTATTTGAGATAATAGACGAGTCGAAAGAGTATTAGAATTTAAGATAAAACCATGGGTAACAGCTATTACATATTATTATAAAAGGCAAAGTGTATTGCCGAGACTTATATATATAGCGTCGAAAAATACTTGACCGATTTTGGTGATTCAGGCTAGTTTAGATAATAGATTGAAGTATTGAACCAGTTATTTTAGGGCGATGTACCCCCTCTTTTAAGTATATTCAAATAATAATCGTTTTTTTCTGCTAGTAATTGATTACTAAAAAAAGAAAATTATTGGGCAGGTGGATTTCCAATCTCGGTTTCATTAATCTCGGAGCAACGCACCGAGTAATACAACTAGTATTTAAAATATTTAAATAAAAAAGTCTGGTTGTATTTAATATTAATTGATTATGCTGTACCAAAACTAAGACAATAGCAAGTAATTTTCAATTCGTTGAGTACCTACAAAATACGTATGTATGTAAGTGTGGTTAAGGGTAATTTAAAAAAAGTAACTTTTAACTTTGCTTTAATAATTATTTTCCTAAAAATTTGTAATTACCATAGTTATTTATATTTAAAAAATTAACTTTAACTGGGCTTGGTTAAATTTTTTTCTGGGCGACAATTTAAACGAGTTAAACACTGATACACTGAAACACTTACCCAGCTTTTCATTTTTAGGCATACTAAAAAGTATAATAGTTTTTTTTTATAGATAAATTTAATTGAGTGCTCATTATAAAAAAAAATTATGAATAATACTAATATTATAATAAACAATAAGTTCTATGTTTAATCTATGCTCTGTTCAAAAAGAAATTTTAAGAAAAAAAAATTTTAAAAATGTTAAGAAACTAAGTCTGCAACTGCGATGACCAATTTTCATCAGACAGCAGTCGGGCAACACCCGTTTTTCGTTATCACTGTGTCAACTATTTGTACACTTGCAGCCATGAATTATTGCGCATTAGTCGGCCGCTGACTTCGTTTCTTAACTTGAACAGGGTATAGACGGTATAGTATATTAGTATATTCAATAATCTGTGATTCTTTTGTGTCTTGTATGCCATTACATATTAAAGCAGAACATTTTCTTCAATGTTCAATCTAGTGATTTCTCAGATTTCTGATAGAATAATCTAGTTAATAGTTTACTAGTGCTAACCTAATACTCTTCTCAATAATTAGAGAAAACTGACTAAAAACAGTGCAAGAAAAACAAGAAAGCTGTTAAAGTTTACAGTCAAACTAAATGTTTGACTTATTTTAGGTTTTTTTCGATTTATGATGATTGCATTTTGGTCTATCTATAGAAATGCTTGAAAATGTACTGAACACAATCAAAATAGGGGAAACAAGAATTTTTACACAAAACCAGTTTTTTACAAAATCAATTAGGTCACAAATTCACAACAAGAATACATTTCTTGTTGTGAATTTGTGATTCAAAAATAAATAATTGCTTTGTGCTTTTGCTCAGATTCAGAAAAATTGAAATATCGTAAAATCCAACATACGAACACAGATAATGCTCAAACCACAAAGTTTCATAATAAGAAGATTCACTCCTATTTTTATACTAATGGAGCCAAACGTGATCTGCCGAGTTTAAAATTTCTATGTTACTCACTTTTAAGATAGAGACATGAGAGTATGCCATTGCACTGTTTTTTCCAACAATGTCACAGTGACCACATCAAGCGGATCACTCTTGAGGGCCCACATTTGTCTATTCCTATCACTTATATATTATATCATCGCTTAATCTAGTTTCTATTTTAATACAACTGCTAAAACTCACTGACTAAGACTTAATACTAATTTACATTGTTACTCATTACATACGTGTTTACTTAACCTAGTTAATAGTTTTATTATGAATACTGTTTATGTATGTATTATTTTATGCACGATACAACAATTATAAACATACTATTAACCATCAATTATTCTCTGAAAAATGGTAAACTTAAAAAATATGATATTAGAACTATACAAAATCACTTAATATGCAAAATATACCATAGTTATAAACTATAAATGTTTTTAAAGTGGTGTCGTCAAAATAATTTTTAAGCTTATTTAGCAAGAAATCTAATAGCCCCCCCCCCCCCACA